GCCCTAGGGAGGAAATATACTATAAGTATTTAATTTAAAATCTCATCAATTGTGGACTGGTAACTTGGTAGCCTATACTAACGGATACGACGGCAGTAATGGTTATCTTTGCACACGTTGCATTGCCGAGTTGCGTGGAGTGTGTAACCTAAATTTCTCACATTGTTTCAAGCCATCGGCCAAATTAGAATGTGCAACTTGTCATAAAGGTGAAAGTACCACGCCCATCAAAGACGCGGTGTCAGGCCTGCTTGTATGTATCGTTGTTTTGTTACCTAGTATTGTAGTATGGCATTTATTTTGTTTTAGTGAACTCTAATGTCTTGGGAACGGTCTAAATCCTTATATTTACTTGGGTGTGCCGGGAATCGAGGCAGTCATCACTCTCACAAGGAAGACGAAGACCAAAACGATATTTGAGCCATTGACGGCCCAAAGAAAAGCTAGCGTAGCATATAATTTTTTATAAGCGATCCCTAAATTAGGACAAAAAACGTAACAAGTGTTTCTATAATATATCGTTAAAACTATAAGAGTACATCATATTTTTTTACTATGGTTTTCAAGAAAACTGTAAAAATAAACGTGCCCAAATAGAGGTACCGGTACCAACTTTTACAGCATGTAGGTATTTTCACGAGTTTCTAGAATTTTTAATTAATAATAAAATATATCATAAACTAGGGCCTATACTCTCTATCAAACAAATTACTACAATTTTCCACTCGTTTGGCCAGTGACAAATTTAATAACTACCTATGCAAAACATTGCAACTGTTTATACTTTTTATAAATATCCAGACTTTTGGCTTTGGATTCACACCAGTTTATTTAAATACCCCACCCACTGGGTATTTACCCACATCACTAGTTAAAACCCACTATCTGCTCTCAAAGGCTCTAATCTGGATAAGTTATTGTATTAGGTACCTAAATATTTTTAGAGAAAAACCATTAACTGTATGTTATTTTTTAACTATTCAGGCCCAACATAGTTGAACAATTAAACACTATTATTAATTGTTTAATGACTCCGAATTACAAATCAAGTTTTCCAAAACAATAAACATCGAATTAGCTGCCTTCCAGAATGTGTTCACAGATATTATATTCTTTATGGACTCGTTTTAGGCTAAATCCCGAAATTCCTTATCAATTAATATTAATTATGAGAGTTAAAAGAACCATTATGGGCATTTTTTATTGTTACTTCACCAGTGACATTTATTAATTTTTTTAAGGGAACGGTCCAAACCAACGACGAATTTATTGTTAGATAGCATCATTAACTCATAGCCCAATGACAAATAACATCTGGGTAAATTTCGCAAATATTTATGAAACTGTGTTTGATTTTTAAGTAGTGTTCCTTTTTTGTATTTTATATTCACGTAGTGACAAAATTCATTTGTAAAAATAATTTTTTATCGTTTTAATTTAATTTTTTTAAAGTCCGGAACGTTTACCGAGTCTGCCATAGCAGACGATAGTCACAATCTGCGTGCAAGTCTGTAACAAGGTAGCCACCATTCGGTGGTCTTTGACACCAACAAACAGCTGATTGTCAACAATTGATCGGGTCAGAGTGGCGCGCGGCAGAGGGTAATCAAATTTCAATTGACCCCGCCCCTCGCCCTTAACTTATACACCCCGCTACAAGTGGTTTAATAAATAAATCAACTTGTCCGTGTCTCTGTTTTCCACATTACCGATCAAAATAAGTCAAACCATATACAGTAGAACCTTGATAGGAAGACTTTTATGGAGATGATCAAATATGACTTGTTATCAAGGTTGACTCCTTATAGAGGTTGCAGTTACATGCATTTTAGGGCAATATCAAATCATGGGTGTTTGAAAATGACACTTGCTATCAAGGGCCACTTGTTTTTTAGTGTCTTATCAAGGTTCTACTGTAGAATGCTTTAAATGGAAACTCGCGTGAAAGGATAATGGTAACCAGCTAAAAAGTGCCAATATCGCAAAAGTTTGTAAAGCAGGAGAGATTAAGTATTTGTCGATTATCATAACAACTGTGGGTGCACTTTAAATATTAATTTTGTACGCCTTGTAGCTTGGTGCATACCGGTAATAATACTTTTGTGAGGTCTTTTACCATTGGTCAAAAGGTTATTGCTGCAATAGGCTACACCTAGACACCCATCTACAATGCAACTTTATTTCCTTGAACTCCACTTGATAGTCGATCAGAACAGTCGGTCTGATCGACAATCGAATGGAGTGCACACACCCCCTGAACACAACACATGTAACTGCACTGCCAGTCCAGGATATCTTTATGACCAGGATAGCCAGGTCCAGGACACCTAGCACAGAGGTGGAGGTCGCAGGCGTGGCACAGAGGATATTTTTAGCTCCCCGTCCTTCCGTTTAGTACAGTCCACTAATCCGATCCGAATCCTGTATGGCGACAATCAACCGGTTGTATGTAAAAGGTCGTCAAATAAAACAAACTTTTTTAGGTATGCCTAAATAATGTCTCCAAGAAAATCTGGAGTCCCTGAACATTTTATGAATGCTTTCACTCGAAGCATGACAAATTTGAAGAGAAAAGAGAAGATTAAGTTAAATATCCCTTGAGAATTATCTTGTTGAGCAGGGGGAGTTTTATTGTGGTCAAGGTTTCAACGTCCTTTAAATAAAAACATTTGTTTCTGGGATGTAAGTAATTTTAACCAGTTAATTGTATTTATTTTATAGGTACACATTAAATTTCAATCACAGCCAAACATAGCCTAAGTTATCAGCAACTTGAATTCTGTATTTGTCTGAATTAGTAGCCAAAATAACTTGTTATAAAACGTCAAAGAAACATTTTAGCAGTTTAAAGCTTATGTTATTTATTTAACTTAAAAACCATGTCCATGTTTTAATAATAGAAAGTCTAAAATCCTCAAGTTATTTAAGAGACGGTGACGGCTTGCCTCGTGCATATTTTACATTATTATAAGAGACTTGAAGGTGGAACATTAGGTCTACTATGCCAAAAGCTGCACAACAACAAAAACGCAAAAGTTTTGGAGATAAGAAATCAAGGCTCCCTCATGAAAAAATTTAAAACTGAGTGAAAAGTATTATGACTTGATAGTTATTTTGTATTTGATTCTGTTTTAAATGTCAAGAAAGATCTGGAACCCTTACAAAGACGTACAATAAATTTTTTCACAACACAAGGTAGCCTACAAGTACAGAGACAATATCGATAGTATTAAGTTTTTGAGGTTAGAGAAGGCACAATGTCAATTCAATTCAATTATTTAAGATGGGGACGCCACTATGTGCGTATTTTAACCCAAATATGAGTGAAGGATGAGTGTAGGATGAGTGGCGCGATCTTGTAGTCTTGTTAGTGACTAAGGCCGACATGTTCCTTAGACACAGCCGTTAATTAATAGCCCATACAGCTAATGGCAACTAAGGGACCTACAGTTTATAGTGGAATCCGAACCACATTTTTCCTTGTAATTTACGAATTGGTCTAATTATCAGGATAATACTGCGGATAACCGTAGTACTCACTAGTGCGGACGTTAATCCACACCAGGGAGCATCGCATCCACAGTGCATCCTATAAATATCCACAATTCGTGACCTCCCAGTAGCTGGATTACAGGACGACGCCACCCGTACTCAGACCAAATGAGTTAAATATTTATAGGTATATCAAACTGTTTGTGCAGCCCCCCATTCTTGTGTAGGTACGAAATTAAAAACGATCTCCGGAATCTTTTATTGTGAAATCCACTCTTCTATACTGACAACCGATGATTTCTTCACCATTCCTAAGGACATTTTAAGGAGTAATTTTAATTAACTTAAACATAGTCTCTACCTACTGAATGTATCAGCATTGACTATTGTATCAGTCAAGGCATCCGCTGCAATTGTTTTCTCCGTTTTTAGTTTGGTTAAGTACGTGGTTTTTGCTTGTAGCCTAATGTTTTTAAATCAAATCAAAAGAACACCAAATCAGTGTTAGCAGCAAACATTTTTCCCACAAGACCTCGGAACCAATACAATGGAGAACAGTTTGTTGGCAACAATTTAATTAAGTTTACCATTACTATTCAGCAAAAGTTTAAAAAATTTAGTTGTTTAGCTCCGATATGAAAGCAGCTTAGTTGTAAAACAAAATTATCATTATTTTGAGTAGGTACCGGTTAATTTGGCTCAAAATAAAATGTACCAATGAGTACCGGGTACATTATTAAAAGCAGCAAAAGTCAATGTGATATTTAGTAAAAAAATAGGCTATTAATAATCAATAAGTTTTAGTAGCCTATAGGCTATTAATAATCAATAAGTTTTAGTAGCCTATACATACCTAATATCAAATATAGTCAACAAATGAATGACTACAAGCCTTTACATTAGGGTGTACACATACCCCAATCAAGTTAAATCCTTCTAATTGATAGGCCTCCTTATGTGCGGTTTACAAACAAACAAGTGTTGTATTTGTAGCAGAAACCTGTGAAATCGTCCAGCAGTAGGTAGGCTAACTAATTTTCTTGATAATTCCCAATGATCCGTTTAAGTTTTAAAGAAACTACTAACACAGTAAATTTTTAAAATTAATACCGGTAGTTTTAAGTTTGCAGGCCTACTTAGTATAAACTTAACTTAGCGATCGGCCAGATTTAAGTATCGGCCCGATTTTCCTTTAGACAAATCCAAGACTGCAATTATGTTCTTGTGATTTAAGTACCGGTAGGTCTACATAATTAAAATGGCCATAGTTTAAGAGTCAACATAACTAATCTTAGCCAGGAATAAAGAATGTTGCAGATTATCTCATCTCGAACACTCTATAGTAAGTTACTATAGTCACCTCTCATTAACTAACCTACGATTAAGTTAAACAAAAATACAGTACACAGCATTGCTGGGCTTAAAAAGATGTATGTGCAAATAATAATCTAGGCCTATTAAACACAAATGTTAGTTTGATAAGTTTGAGACTTTGCAAGTTTACTCACCATTAGATGTTTGAAGACTCCAATCAGACCTTGAGAAGATTGTAAATTTATTTTTTCTTTATCAATTTACACAGGAATCCAGGATTATCGCCAAACAAACCCCGCACTTCGACTTATCCGTTAAAGTTGCTCCGCATCACACTTTGTAAAATAATAAAATAACAAAATATTGACAGGTCTAAACTTTTAAAACCACAGATGGGCCACTATGACACTAATGTGTAAAGAGTCAAACCGCTGAGGTCAAATGCTGTGAGTTATTTTTAGATTTTGTTACGTCACAAACACTGACTTGTCTCGTCGTCTGTATAGCTCATGTTGTTGTGGAAATTTATTCAAGGCTGCTGAAATTTCAAAAGCAAGCTGTAAGTTTTGTTGGAACACAGTTTTGTCCAGTTACAAGGAAAGTGAGGACGAAAAAAGATCAACAAAGGACTACTTACGGCTAAAAAAAGAAACCGAGCCAACTTAATTACACTTGACTTGGGTAAGGCCTGTAAATTATAAACCTACAAAAGAGCAAATACGCCTATCAGTAGTAGGTTTCGCGAAATAATTACTTGAATAAACAATTTACTCAGTGAAATGATCTAGGAAAGCATCAAGTTTAACTTAAGTTTAAGTTGTTTTGATTCCCGAACGTTAGACTTTGGTAAATAAGATAACAAACTCGGACTGAACCAAACTATCTCCAGTGAAACAATTTGTCGTCGAGAGCAAAAAATGTAGTAAACATAATAATTGTGTACCTTCAGAGTACAAATATGTGAACTAAATAACTTTATACTAACTTCCAAGTCACCAGCGACAGAACTAAAACCCCGACCTGTGGTGGAGAGGTTAAATTTGAATCCCGATGACTTCAAATAAATTAGAATGGACTATTTTGACTCACAGTTAACGGCACCTATTTTCTTCGAATAGCACAAAATACTTAAGACCGATAAATACTACTGCGTACCCGACAAGTTTTAAGTTCACAAAGTTTCAAACAACACTACAACCATCACCCACTACCTGTTGCTGAACACTGGCACTAATACCACCACTACAAAACGAGAATCCAGCTGCCGCGCCTCGTATCATCTGACGTGCTAGAAACGTTCTTGAGTTGGCCACCCTGATGGTAGACTGCCAGAGGCAGCTCCTGGCATCTAGTAGCAACAATACAAACTATCTGCACTCTTGGCAGAAGCAGCAGACTAAATGTACTAGCCTAGCTATTATGGTACAGTACCTATTCAGTACTTTACTTTTACTGTAGGCCTACCTACCTGAAAAATATTAATGACAAAATAACCTCCGATACTCATTAATTTCCATAACATTATCAATTCATGTTATGCAGTAAATCTTTTTATCAAGAAATTAATAAAAGAATTACCTAATTTTTGTGATAAAATTCTTGTCATACAAGTATAAATATTTCGTTTAAAATAAACATGATACACCTTAGTTTTACATTTTATGAAATGATGAAAAACATACACTTAAAACGGGGTTTTATCCATTAGAACATTATGTATCCTATGTAAATCTCCCTTTATATGTCAACAGGGTTGCAATAGAAAGATGTGTACTGTTACAAGGGTGAGGACTTGTTTAAATGATAATCATTGTTTAAACTCATTGACTGCAAGTTTTGAGTGTAGCTTTTTATAACATTTTACGGCAAGGTAGTCATACTGTTCACCCGGATAAGCTCCCCCATTAGTGACGTAGCCAGGGGGGGGGTCCTGACCCCCCCTTCCGGTCTTAAATATAATATTTTTTTGTTAAATTTAAAATTACATAATCACACTGTATTGACGTTGGGGTTGATTATTTTCAATGCTAAGAGAGCTAAAAAATACCGTTTTAGGGCCTATATTTTTAAAAATTTTCCTGGTCCTCCCCTTTTACGTTGACCCCCGGTCGGTCGACCCACCCTATTTTGAAATCCTGGCTACGTCACTGCTACTAATATAGAGAAGAAGCACATAGAATTTCTTGTTTGCCTTTTTTTGGTTAAATATTGACATACCGGTTGCCGGTATTGTATTAAAATGCATATGCCATAGAGGCTAAACGGAATAACACTTAAAATTACATAAAAACCATTAAAAAATGCCTGTGACAATGGCTTATGATGGGGAAGCACTAAGCAATAAAAGGCATATTTTAACCCAAATAAGAATGAAGGGATAGAACATGCATGATAAGGTGTAATAGTGTTGCTACATGGTAATTAAACCAAGCCAGTTTTTTTTAAACAAACTAGAAAAGAAGAAAAAAACAAGAATAAAGGGTGAGTGTGGAATGGGGCAAGATGCCTTGTAAAGCTTTGTTACTAACTCAGATCAGATCAGCTGTTTCTAAAACCAGGATTCTTTATCTAAAACCCCAATGGTCAAGGAACATCCTGAGTCCAGTTATGGACCATAAAAAAGGCTACTGATTTTTTTCAGGATCAACCTTCTGATTGCTAAAGAAACATAGCTTTACACAGAATTTATTGACACTTTGGATTCAGTAAAACAATTAAAAATATTGGGTCTACATGAAAAATTACTAACTAAAAGTAGGTTTGCAAAATAAAAACCAATATTAAGTGTGAAGAAACAATACCGCCTTACAGATGACAAATCCTCAACTTTACAGAACAGGAGAAAAACTGTTTTGAAAAATATCCATAGAATATAATATACAAAACTACATATTAATGTTTCAAAACTAATGTCTAGATCAAACTTCGTCTAAATACTAAATTACTTTAACTATATATATTTACTGTAGTACTTAGGCGGTATTAATGGGTTGAGATTTCGGTTTTGTAGATAGGCTGTATTCCTATTTTCAGTTAGGCGGTATTGCATTCATGTATTTTGTTTAAATGGTCTGTTGGGCGGTAAAGTGACCAATGCATTTTAAGAGAAACTTAATAGTAAATTAATTTTCTTTTAATATTTAAGTGATAGTAGTGGTGAGTAAAACAACACATATTTACAAAAATGTTATAATGAAAAATGTCTTAGAATACGGCAGTTCTACACAATAAAAAGTATAAAATAATTTAAAAGTTCAATTAGAATAATAGTAACAAGAATGTTCTTTTTCAGTCTTCAATGCCAGTCTTTAACGTGTCTAAGTCTTTCATGACCTCAGTCTAAAATAAATGTCCCTATACATCTGAGGGTTTAAAATCCAATTAAGTTACTTCTGTGTCCATGTAGTCAGTTTTCTACACACTTCCCTCTTTTAGGAGAAATTAGTAGTTTCCTAATTAATAAAAGTCGACAACTAGCGACAGAGTAATAGTAATGATGGAATTAATCATTCTTAAAAGAAATATTGTCATAAAAGGGATGGCAATCTTGAGGTAACACGTGTTTAAGGTCTTGCAGATCTTTCCATTTCCGTTTTGAAATAGGTATATAGGGAAATAGGTAGGTTGGTACAAACGCTGGAACTCTCTTCCAGAATCAATCTTCTTTGGTCGTCTTGGTAGATCTTCGTATGCTTGATTAAAGTCGAGCTTTACTCCAATTTTCCCGTTCGGTTTGTACAGTATTGCTCGGATATCATGAACTGTTGGTTCTCCCACCTTATTCCCTGGTCGAATCGATTCATATGCCATTGAACTTTTTACTGAAAAGTTTTTGAAAAAAAGAGTAGTTCAGGTAATGTGATTCATATGGAGTTGGCTTCAATCGCGCTTCTTTCGTTGCTGCATGATACTGACTTGGTAGATGTATTTCCTTATTTTTGAGACAGTATTCAATATTGCTATGCACGAAGTCACACTCCATTTGAGTATGTCCTTTGATGAGAAACTTTTGCTCAATTTCCACATTCATTTCACTGGCTAAATGAAGAAGCGCGTTAGAATAGATAGCATTTCTATTTTGATAGCCGCAACCATCCGACCATAGAACGACCATCATTCTCATTTTCTTCGTCTTCATTTGTGTGTTCTTCTTCTTCTTTATTTACTTTAGTTCTCCTTTTTACAGTAGATTTTTCTACCATATTTGATAGATACACCTTTCTCTGGTCCCAGTTCATGCTGATTCAAAAATTATCAAATATCTTGAGTCTTTGCTCTTTGTCAATGCTCTGGCAGAATCTAACTTTTGATTTTTTGCATAAATTAGATGAACAAGTGACTCCCATCGTCCTTCCTTCTTTAGGGGTATCATGGAACACTCTTCCATTTTTATCTCTCCTATAACCTAAATACTTCTTACCCTCCATTCTCATTTTTTTTACTGACGTTTTTCTGCCAGGAACATGAGTTATTCTTCTTCCTTTTCTTTTCAGGCAACACTATGTTTTCTTCTGAATCGGAATTTATCTGTTCTTGAGTGTTAGATGTCTCATTAGACACCATTTCAATCATGAAATCCGGATCATCCATTCTTTCCTCGGTTAGATTTGTGCCTTCAAATATGTATTCAATTGTTGTCACAGTATTACTTTCGTTTTCAATGATATCAAAAGGGAGGTTCATAATATCGATTTCATCAACAGCAGCCTCTTCAATGAGTGGTTCACCTAAAATAAATAAAAACTATTAAGATCCCATAAGCCTATTTCCAACAAAAAAGTTAACCACCGACCACAGTGTGATGAAGATAAAATCTGCCTGAAAGTGGAATTGTATGCTGGTGACAATATTAATTTCCTCAATTAAAGCATTCAATAGCTAAACTTTCATAACTGGTAAACGAAACAAGAACCCGTATACTGTAGTTAAAATTGCGCAAAATTTAATAATGAGGATATTATGAGTATTTACCGGCTATTTCGTGAATCGTAAGTAAAGTGAAAATAATATTTACCTGATACAGGAATCTGAATGTTGGCATCATTGTCTATTGGTATTACAGGAAACATAATATTGTTGTCCTCTTGTACTTCATGTGATTCGTTTATATTGCTTAAATGGGTTTGAACTGTAATTGGAACAGAGCTGTGATCTATTTGATCTGGTATTTCTACATTCATTTCTTGGATTAGCTCGTTGTTTTTTGTAGACTTAACACTACCTGAAATTTAAAAGTTACAAATTAAAATTATAAAAACATCGCTAAGTATTTTCAATGAATTAATTTGATAAATTATTTATTCATAACTTTTTGTTACTACTAAGTATTGCTATCATTTTAGCTATTTTAGTGATGTAAAAATTCATTCAAATTACCATCAGTAAAAGTAGAGACATTTGGAATTTTTGAACTACGTTTGGCTGAGACTCCTATCTCTAAGTCTATTCTAGATTTCTCTAGTTCCTTAAAAATTTCATCCTCTGTAAATAAAAGTCCATTTCCCTCTTCAGAGATTGTTTGGCTGAATTCAAGGTCTTCGTCAATTTCAGAATCCATTGTGCCTGGAAAGAAATTGTTATATTAAAAGTAAATAAAAACATTCATAAATATTACGTTTCCACAAAATAATATATGGACTTATTAGTCCATTTCTATTACTATTATTGTAAAAAAAGACGAATAAAACGAATATGAAATCAATGTGAATGTATTTTAGTTAATTGTAATACCGCTTATCTACCATTTATTTGACTGATATTTTCAGAGCTAATACCGCCTATCTGCAGCATTATTTCAAACAGCTGCTATTAATATGTTTTATAATTGAATACTGTTTAACTTATTGAAAATGTGATTCTAATTAATGTATTTAATAATATTCTAATAAACCCATTATGATCAATAAAATGTAAAAGGAATTAAGTGAAGTATAATACTAGTGCTTACCTCGGCGTGACAAATTCCCATGCAGTTGTATAGGCTACTAAAGCAGTTAGGCGGTATTTTTAACTGGAATCAGTTGGGCGGCATCAGAACAAACGCTATAACAACACCATCTGTTGGATTTTTGGCGAACTACGTCCACCATTCGTTGGACAATGATGCAGCGGTTGCTACGATACCAAAACCTTGATTTCGAAAAAAATGTCAGATAGGCCTAGGCGGTATTGTTTCTTCACCGACGGTATGAAACAAGTATTTATTTGCAATTATTCATTATGAATATTCAAATAAATAGGAAAGTAACCAAAAGTTAGATGGTTTTGAAATATACACAAGTAAATACCATAGAAAATATCACTTAATTTATTTACATTATACATTATATTGTATATAATATGCAGGAAACCAAATTCTTGACTAGAAACTATTTATAAAAATAGACAAAATTTACTACAGTTTACAAAGGAAGCAACTGTTACTAATTTATTATTTACAAATTAAATAAAATATACAATGTCTTATCAATATCTCAGACAATATATTTTCTGAAGTGAATGAAAACTAGGTAGGTAAATTTTTAGATTTATTTGCAATATTTAAAATAATGGAATCACCGTAAAGGCTAGAATTTGTTAAATTTAGTTTAATTTTCCTAAATATCAAAACTTAAAGAAAAAAAATCAACTATGCACTTTAAAATATTATTTGTCAGAATAAGTTTTTGGATTAAACAAATCATTTAAGTAGTAATGAATAATGAATATTTGGCTTTAAAAACATACTTTACCCTATTTTAATACCATACCTCCCATTTAATTAGTAAGTACCTCTAGTTAAATTAAATTTAATTGCCTGAATAATATAAACTAAGGTTGTATTTCTAAGCTTGATTGCTATAAGAACTGAAAACACTTCAAAACCAATAATATATATAGTAATAACATCGTTTAGAAATGATTATAAATTCTAGTGGTGATAAAATAATAATATTTTGTCAAGCTTTATTTGTGCATAATATTGAACAATCTTGTAGGAAAGAATAAATTATGTAAGGTATGTGTTTAACTATTGTTTCTAAAAATAAGCATAACAATTTTTTTAAATTCTTTTACGCACAGGTAAAACAGAATCCCATTTTTAGGACAATTTTTCTATTTATAAATTGTAATGCTGTTTTATTACTTGTAACAATAAAGATTGATTTGATCTCAAATTGATTTAAATCAATTTAATAAATAAAATTGATTGAAATTTATGAAATAAATAAAATTGATTGAAATTGATTAAATAAATATAAGTTTAATTGATTAAATACATAAATTTAATTGAACTTTATTAAATAATCAACTTATTTTTCCTGACACAGAGAGTAATTCCTAAAAACTAAAATAATTAGAAATCAATAAAAAATCAACAAATCCTAACAACATATTAACTTAAACTTAACCATCACACAATGTATCAAAAAATTAAGTAGCTGATCATACAAAGTAAACAAAACTAAATTAGGATAATGATTTAAAGTGATTGTAAAAACAACACAATTTTTACACAACACGTGCTTAAAAAATTGTACCAAGCCTTACATAAAAACATGTTTTTTTACATAAAATATAAATATCAAACGTTTGTCCCTCATAATCTGATCGAGGCTGTTGTTATTGAAAATTCCTGATTTAAAAAGATTGGATTTTCTTCATGTAATTGATCAATATTAAATAGATTAATATTTTCCAGTCCCATTGGATTACCGAAAATTACAAATAATCAGGGCTGTGCGAATAGTTCGAAAAACGAATCGAATCCGAATCTTTTTAGAGATTCGATTCGGATTCGAGAACGAATCTACTGTTTCTAACTGGATTCGGATTCGGAATCGATATTCGAATTTACTGGTAAGAGATCCGGGTTCGGATTCGATATTCGAATTTCTTGGAAATAGATCCGAGTTGGGATTCGATATTCAAATTTACTAGATTCTGATTGAATATAATTTTCAATATAATTTTTTAGACACTAAAAAACTACTTGTGCACTCCGATTTGCTGTTGACTGGTTCATGTTAGGAACCTGACCAACTTGGTGTTAGGCTTTAGGCACATTAGTGTAGGTCGCATTTGAACCCTATCTTGGCTATCAGTAAACTTAACCTCACAGTGTTAGTTGTTACTTGTAATAGTAATGCAGACATAGGCTTGTGTGGAGGATTAACACCGAGGTGTATAATAGGCTGGGCCTATGTTTTAGACTACACAAATTGGTAGTCCATCACTTTTAGCGAGTAACTTAGGCCTAGGTGGTATGCCTAACTTATGCCCAATTTTTTAGTTTCAAAACTTCAAATAGGTAGGCCTAAATTTTATAACTTTTTTATTTGGCCCATTTCAAGAATTTTTTTAAGCAATTCCCTAAGTTATTTCAGCCCCAGAAAATGTGGTCTAAAAATGTGAAAATTGGTACTGCTGACTTTCCTCGGATTTGGATTCGACTCTGAACATGTTTAAATATTCGGATTCGATAACAGCTTTAAATTTCAGATTCGGATTCGATCCAGGTTCGATAATGGCTGTAAATTTGAGATTCGGATTCGACTCGGGATTAATTAAAACATTCGGATTCGATCCGGATTCGATAAAATCTGTACAGCTATGATTCGGATTCGGATTCGAACCAAAATTTCTGGATTCGCACAGCCCTGCAAATAATCAACATCGGATATTCTTAATGTGTTTGATCATTATTAAATATGATTATTATTTTGTAATGTGTTTGATACCCATTTGTCTTGATCATTTGATGATGCTCTCTGAGAAAATTTGACTTAGTAACAAGACCAGGGTTTGTACTCCCACGCAAAAATGGTTTAAACATGCTAATGGAGTAAAAACACAATTAAAAATATTCAATGATAACTAGTATGGTATGATACTAATCATTTTGGTTTGTAAAAACAAAGAACCAAAATAAGAACAATAATAACCAAGTAAGAAGAAAAAGTCAAGTTGGAGGGCTGTATTTTTGACATTATTGTCAAATTCTTTCTTAATTTTATTTTCTTAATTTTTTAATTAGTTATTCTTATAAGGTTTAAGTTATCAGATCCTTCAGATCAGGCTTCCTAGTGTTATTGTTTTCACCCTTGTAAATATATTTGTATGTAGATCCCTATAATGGTGTTAATTAGGTTCAAAGACCATGGACTTGTTAACTCGTTAACTCGTTGGCTTCGCTTGTGTGGGACCATCCATTTGATTTGATTTGTATTTGATTGTATGTCAAGGCAGGCTCGTCTTTTCCAATATTGCCGGATTAAATCTGACAACCGAGTACCTTGGACTACAAAGTGTCCGATTAATAAGAGACTGTACAAATTTATATCAAAACTCAATATATACCACAATTTTTAATTAGTTACATTCACTTCAGAATGTTTCCGATATCTAATACTATAACTCGGTGGTATGAAACAGGTCGTTAACCACCTTCTCCAGGTCCACGGGGAACCTCTCTTCGCTGAGGTCTATAAAATTTGAGGTGGTGTTGGTGGTGGCGTTAACGGAGGTGGTAGCGGGGGCATGGTACCTTTTGATGTGAGTCTCTAGGTTGCCCTTCTGAGAGAACTTTTTAGGACACTCGCTACACGACCATTGCTTCTCACCGGAGTGAACGGTGGTAGTGTGCTTGTCCAGCGAGTTCTTTTGGGAGAAACTGCGGCTGCACTCCTGTACGAATAAATAGAAAAACAAAGCTATCAATTACAGTTGGATTTCATTGACTATACGAGGATCACTATCTTTGTCAATGTAGTGCGATCAGGTAGTTAGACTTGTCAAATTTTGAGGTTGAAAAAAATGGACTTAACTTGCAGTTTAAAAATAACGTGGCCGTTGAAGAAATTTTTAAAAAGTAATTCCCGATTACGAACCTACTAATAAGTTTTTTTTATTTAATAAGTGCACCCAAAATCTAGAGTGGTCAATTTAAAATAACAATTAACTGACCGAGCCAATACTACAATATTGTAACTTGTTGCAAGATTAATACTTTAAATCTTATATATTAAAAAATCTTTGCAAAACTTATGACAGCCAGCCTGACCATACTACTGGACCAAATTACATGCGGTTGGTACCAAATGAAAGATATTTTACTGTAGATGTGCGAATCCCTTTATAAATTAAAATAGGCTAAAACATAAGTACAAAAAATGAATAAAAACAATTATTTCTATTGGATTTTACAAAAAGAAAGGTTATCGGTCCTATATGTGCAGGTATTTTTTGTATTTTCAGAATATTTATGTTAATTGGGTCAAAAATTGAAATTCAACTTTTCTTATGGAGATTTAACATGGGGCTCTATATATTAATAGACAAGCATGTTTATTCAAAACCTTTTTTATCAGACCTGTGCACCGCAGGAAAAATTTACGCATACCGTGTTAAAGATATTTGCCTGTATATGTGCAGAATCACTTTATAAATTAAAATATGCTCAAAAATAAGCACAAAAAATGTATTTAAAATTAAGAAAATTAACATAGACCTTATGGGTTGCCATGTTGGTGACGAAATAACAAAATATAAACAGAAAATCAAAACAAATGGAACAAATTCCAATCACATGTTTTATTTACAGAGTGGGGTGAATATAGAGAAGTTAGAACAATACATACTTTTGGTTGAGTTTTCGACCACGGGGCAAGCTATAGTCATTAAATTAAAAGAGTTTTTTACAAGTGAGCTATAGCAACCGTTACATCATCTATGTCAGCAACAAACATTAAGGTAGAAAATAAAATTTTAAACACGCATTCTGTGACTGACTTACAGAACTATGTTTTTTTTTACTAAAGAAATCAGCGACAGCTTGCCCATTTAAATGGGATGTCTACTTTAATCCAAGTGTCAATGGTAAAAGCTACTCGTTTCTGGTAACTCACCTTGCAGTTGAAAGGCTTCTCTCCCGTATGCACTCGCATGTGTCTCACCAGGTTTGTTTGTTTACTGAACCATTTATCACACACGGAACACTGGTACTGCATCAGCTGTATTTGCATCTGAAACACAACACCTACATTAATTTCCATGGTAACCACACAGGGATGTAAGGAACAGAGGATACGTGCCATGGTACACTTGCATTGTGTCTAGGGCAAAGTCCAACACCATGCCTCGCTATCATGTACTACAACAACCGTGGAGGTAGACCCTGTGAAATAGAAATGTCCTCACAATGCTAGCCCATTTTCGGGGATTTTGATTTATGCTTAAAATGGCAATAAAATTTGATTAAAAAACTGCTTGAACTAGTGTTATCAATATTTAGTATGTTACTAACCTTTAAACTCTTAGCATAGTAGATAGCAATACAAACCCTATTTCTGTAAAAATTAGGGTTCAAAAGTTATTGTAACCTTTGTGATTTTCCCCATAAAATATCATAATTACTCCCACCGTTAACCAATAAGAAAGGTTGTTGACAAGCTAATCGTAAAGAAGTATGTGTTGGATTGCTGATACTGTTTTCTTTCTTAACTTTTCTTCTTTAATATTCTAGGACCCCTTACATCAGAACCGGTTTACACACTATCTCAGGCCTAGAGGGTTGCGGGATTGCTCTACCAACAGCTGTTGAGACTCACCACGTTGGTATCTTGTGCAGGTGGGTTGTCCGTTGTAATGTTTACCAGCTGGGGCTGTGCCTCCCTGATGTGCAGCATCAGATGTGCCTTGCGGTGACCAGACGTGCGGAACCTCTGGTTACACACCGGACACCGGAACGGACGAGAACCTATCCAACCAAAACAGTTTTAAGATACTGAGTAAGAAAGGGAATTAAACCTAAATTCACAGTACTCAGCTAGGCAAACACTCTGTTCACAATTCACATTACACTCGGTCGAGTTGGTAAACAGAGTTGAGCAGTAGAATGAGCATAAATTTCAAAATTCTATTCCCAGCCGACGTGAGTAAGGCGATGACCGGCTAGGCTGGCTTCTGAGAAAAGACTAACCTATAAAATTATGTTTACGTCGGTAATCAACAATATCATCGTTGATGGTTTGATCCCAAGTAAGGTCAAATGTCCAATTTTCTGTACTCTATCCACAATTTCATGAGTGCCAGCAATCTATGTTCTAAGAATCTCAAACAAAATTCCACGCTTATGTATAAAGAAACAGTAAAGTAGCTATAAAGAAAAAAGCATTAAAGAAGAGCTATGAAGGAATGTTTAAATGACATTAATTGATATCACAAAAATCTATACATTCAATGTTTGCAATGCAATGTTTTTTTGCCAAATACCTGTATGTAACCTCATGTGGACCTTCAATGAGCCCTTGGTGGCGAAGAAGTACCCGCACATGTGACAAACACATCTCTTCGGCACATTGTGAGTCTTGAGGTGGGAGTCAAGCGTGGACTTGACGGTGAAACACTTAGAGCAGTAGTCGCACTGGTAAGGCCGTTCTCCCGTGTGTATCCGTAGATGTCTCACCAGGTCACTCGGTTTGCGGAAACTCTTCGGACAGTACTTGCACTGGTTCGGGTGGACCGGTTCGTTCTTATACAACTCCGGGTCCTGTTAAATTCAAAACTTCAAGTTGTAAGGTCATATGGACGTAATATGTTATGTAGATTTAATTAAATTGAATGTGAACTTTGGTAACATTTTAAAAACACAAAAACAAAAAATATTTTTTAACTTTCAAACTTACAGTGGAGGAATAAATTCTAAAATATGCACAAGTATTCTCTCTAAACTAAAATATCACCTGGACTGTAAAGGTTTCCAAATTCTACACTACAGTTGCAGTCGTATAACACAAAAGGTCAAAATGATATTTTTCTAAATGAACCAGCAAAAGATCAAATAGTATAGGGCCTAAACAGAGTGTTAAAAAATGTGGGTACATAATTTACGTAGTGATTCCTTGGGTCAAAATAGAGAAAAAAATCTAGAAATAGAATAACATTTTTTCCAAAATCGCTTCGTTATCCAAATATCTGCCATTTTGTATTTTTAACATTAACATTTTTATCTTTGGATTTTTTAAACCGATCTTTATGAAGCTTGGTATGTATGTTAAGGTAGATGAGACCCATGTTAGAAAAAAAAATCATCTTGATTCAATATATATTTTCAAAATGCCGCCATTTTATTTTTTCAAAATAAAATTTCTCAAAAACGGCTAATTTTATGAAAAAGTGTCAAGTACACTTTTATTTAGAATCTTTTTGCACTTGGTATCATTTGATAGGGAATTAAAAATTCTAAATAAAAGTGTACTTGACACTTTTTCATAAAATTAGCCGTTTTTGAGTAATTTAAGCTTAAAATATTAATATGGCCGCCATTTTGAAATCTTAAGAGGAATCAAGATGAAGTTATTTTCTAAAATGGGTCTTTTCTACCTTAACATACATGTCAAGTTTCATTAAGATCGGTTGAAAAAACCGGAAGCTAAATGTTTATGTAAAAAATAGAAAATGGCGGATATCTGGTTAACAAAGTACTTTTGGAAATAATGTTATTCTTGATTTTCTCTTTATTTTGACCCAAGGAATCACTACGTAAATTATGTCCCCACACCCTGTTAAACGCACCACTAGCCCTCTATTCCCTATTTTTCAAACAAATCCCCTCTAAAATGTCTAAAACATTATCAACACGGTACCTTAACGTCACTGATTCTCTCCCGTTCTTTCAGTGAGGAAAGCAGCACACGTTCACTCATGGAGCTGGCCTCTGTGATGGTGGATTCCACCAGTTTACTGGCCTCCTCCTCCGTGAGTTGACGGACATCGCCGCGCCGTCGCCGTGGTCGCGCCGGCACACCTTCCGCCATATTGTGCACCAACGTGCTGTGTCTCTTCAAGTGCAACTCACTCCGACACACTATGCCACAGACGGCGCAGATGAATAGGGGCCTGTAGGAACAAAACAAATTTCTATGTAATTTTCATTACTTGTTTATTAAATATTGTTTGATGTTTTGCTATGATTACGAAACCATGTGAGTTGAGTCTATACCACTTGATCATCTATTATTCTTTTTGAGTTCTTTCTACACTATTATAGGGGTAATACAACCAAACTAAGGGCAGTCAGAGTAGATACCAACCCAGGTAACACCCACTTACCTCTTAAATTCTCAAATTCACTCTAATAAGTCCCCTATTTCATATCAAGGACTCCAAAATTACTCTCTAGATAAGAAATAACCCTCAAGATAAAAAGAAACCCTCTAGAAACTACCCCTAAAGGAGCTAATCGAGAGCCCTGTATAATATAGGGGGGGGGGGGATACATCTACCATAGTACCTGTAGTTCAGTCCAGTGTGAGTAGTAATAGATAAGAAACTAGAGATAAATCACATGTAGATCAAGACCACTGGACTGAACTACAAGAAAGAACTCCAAGATGTAAAGATGTTTCCATGATCGGGGGAGACGATGATGATGTCAATGCAATGCGGGAGGTGTTCAGGATTTCTCATCCTCATGGAACAGCAAAAGCCAATTTTATTGTTCGTTCTGTACGTTACACTGTAGGGGTCGTGTTTGGTTAACAATTTGTTTCTTGTTATTTCAGTCATTTAAAACCTCTCTATACAAAATTAAACGATCTAATCATAAAAAATAACGTAAATGTAAAGCAAAAATCATGAAAATTAACCTAAAATAACAGAAACAAAATTTCGTCTACACTAACGATCATTGTCAAGTCAAGTCAAGTCAATCATTTATTTTCACATAACGTTTTACAGATCCAGCATAGCTGGGAAACAGGTGAAATGGTCATGGACAATTAAAATACATAAAACTATAATAACTATTACAATATGCTAAGAAATCAAATATATACATCATTTAAAAAATCATCAACTTTGTAATACCCTTTATTAAGCAGCAATTTGGTAACTTCTTTTTTGTATTTTTCAAAAGATTCTAATGATTTAATATTATCAGGCAGTTTATTATACAGTTTTTTCCCTAGGTATTGTGGAAGGGTTTCTAGTGAGGTAAGTCTATGAATGGGCAGTTGTAAATCATTTTGATGTCGTGTTAAATAATTATGGTTATGGTTTTCATTCATAAAATATTCAAGATTTTTTTTAATAAATAATAATGTTTGCAGGATATAAACAGACGGAAGTGTTAATATTTTCAATTCTCTAAATAATAATTTACAGGATTGCCTAGGCTTTGAAAATGTCATAATACTAAGGATCTTTTTTTGAATTTTGAAAATGGTTTCGGCATTTGAGCAGCTGCCCCAGAACTCTATTCCATACAACATGTTTGACACAAACAAAGCATAATAAACAATCATCCTTGTTCTGAGGTCAGTAACATGCTGCAGGACAGACATCTGGAAACAGACTGTATTTAGTTTATTAGCTAAAACTGATGTGTATTTATCCCAATTTAAAGTGTTTTGTACCTGAATACCTAAAAATTTTGTAGATGACGTTTCATTAATAATTTCCCCCTGAAAATTAATATTTAATTTGATGGTTTCTCTGTCATGAGTAGTTTTGAACCTGACAATTTGAGTTTTAGAACAATTTAGACTCAGACCATTTGCTCTGAACCATTTGTTTAAATCTTCAAAAGTTTGGTTTATCAAATTTTGTAAATTTTTAGGGCTGTTTGATTTTAATATAGCTGTTGTGTCATCTGCGTATAGAACAAGCTTTGAGTTTATGTTAAAAGGCAGGTCGTTAATATAGATTAAAAACAACAAGGGTCCCAATACATTGTCGACATACATGAACTAGAAACAAAAAACAAGCTTCAGAATTTACAATGGGATGACTTCTGTTGGTTAGTCTATGATACAAACTAAGATACTTTTGTGGGAGTAGTATCACACTGATGTGTAGCCATTGTCTACTTTACCTATCTTCAGAGTTGTGTAACGACATATGCCTAGTCAGAGAAGACAGTTGGGTGAAGGTGGCACCACACTGGCCACAGGCAAACTCTTTTTCCCGGCCATGGCTTTTGATATGTGCCTGAAAGAAAAATTACAAATGTAGTCAACATTTTTCATACTATTTGTTTGTACAGGCTAAAATATATTTCAATTTAATTTTGTCCATACAGGGATGGCAAAAGATCTGGGTTAATGGAGAGGCAGCAGACTTTTAAATGCCTGTTACAAACAATATCTATGCTCCCACCTTGAATTGTATATTTTGTTTGTCTGAGATTTTAACTAGCTCACTCAGCTGCCAATCTTAACATATCTAAAAACTTTAAAAAAATACAATAGGGGTTTTCTGTTTTACATCCCTTTTTTACCCGTCCTACTTAACCGATTTATACTATTGAGTTGTGATTGAAAATCAAATCTTATGATCTAGCGGGGTGACAAATGGTAACCAATAGTATATTTCGAGCCCCGAAATGGGACTTTCGTGACGATATTGAACGATACTTTTTATTACGATGAAAAAACTACTTCATAAATCATGAAAAATTATCTGATATTTCGTTAGCTTATTAATTTTTCTAATCTAAACACAATACGGCTGTACAATAAATTTTAGTGTAAAATTCACGTTAAGGTTTATGTAGCAAAAGTTATGTTTATGTTAGGAAAATTCACCTGATCACTATTTGTTTTTGGTGTATTGTAATTTAAGATATTTGATGATCTCAGCTGTAAGGAAATTGGCTATTTTCGATTACAGAGTGCTGAAAAAAGGTAAAACTTTGAGATTGATTTTGTGAAGAGTTTGCTCTCAAAGATTAGGTAATACAGAACAACTTTTTATAACAAATTAAATTTTATTTCAAATGTTAACAGCTGTGTGTTTTTTAGTGGAAAAACATACTTCAACAACTAACTGTAAGGTTGTGAAAGAGAATGAAAGAGTCTACGAAACTGTATTTTAAATAGGCTACTTTTTTTACTGAAACCTGAGTAAGGTAGATAAATCTCACTTCATTTTCTAGCCTAGATCTAAAAGAAACAAATTAAATTTATTGTAAAGGTAAATTAGCGGTTTTATTCACATAATATTACATTTGTATCAAACAAACATAACCTTTGAAAAGAAAAAGGGCATTATTCATTTTGCCTGTTGCCTCAAAATCAAAATCTATTAAAATACACAATTCTTGCACGGGTCCCCTCGTACAGTATAATATTTATGATTTTCACTACAACTGCTGACACCTGTAGCTATTGTACGTTTGAGCTCACCCTGTATTGAGCTGGGGTGGCGAAGGTTTTCTCACAGATCTCACAAGAGCTGTGAGTCTCCCTGTGACTCGCCAGCTGTTCTCCGTCACTCACAACCATGTTGCAAACGTCACACCTGTCAACATCATCAGACAATATCAAAACTGGGTTTACACTAAACATAAGCACAACTTCATACATAAGTCACAGTGTTGGGAAGTAGCGCGCTACAAGTAGCGACGCTACAGTAGCGCGCTACTTTTTTTGTAGCGTTAGCTGTAGCTACGCTACTTTTAAGATTTTGTAGCTTTAGCTGTAGCTAGCTACATTTTTAAAGTAGTTGTAGTGGAATTTTAGCTACTTTTCTCGCTACATTAACATTGTTTGAGATAGTGATTTTTATCATAACCTCAACCTTACGTGAAACAACCTCTTTCTCAAACTGAGATTAAAAAAAAAATTAGGCCTACTTTCTTGGCTTCACACAGCTGGTTGCAGCCGTTTTATTCCCTATTACAACGTTGTGTGGACATGGAGGCCATTAAATGAGTGTTATACACATTTTTGGCTCTCATTTCCTTAATTTACTACTCTATGATTACTGTCAGATAAATAAAATCGCTAGATGCAGACGACGTTTAAACGTTACCGGTGACAAGAGAAGCTATTGAATGCTTGCAAGTGATAGACAGGGAAATTAGTAAAAAAATTTAGTTTCTTTATTATATCGTTAGTGTTTCAACTTGGGTTTTAATGGAAACCAACTCTAAACCTTAAAATAATGTAAAGCTGGTCTATCAACCTTTGCTTCAGCTGTTGATTGTGGTTCATCATCACAAGCCCTTCCTTGGTTAGATTACGAAGATTTTTCAAAGGTTTACTAGATTAATAAAGAGGAAATTACCTGATGAGATTTAAGATATGCCTAGACTACATGATAATTGTAACAAAAAAATCTCGATATAACATGAAACTTACATTGAAAAAACAGCTCTTGTATAGGACTATTCCTAGGCTATACTATGGTTTAAGACGAATACCAAGTTCCAAGTTCAATTATTTATTAGGAATATATCTGTTTAGCCCTTGCAAGAATAAGCCTACTATAGCCAACTTGTTACATAGCCAAGGCATGTTATTTTTACTTTACAAATTTCAACATGTTTAAATTAAAAGCCGATTTCAGGATAAGTTGCTGAATGCTGTTTTCTGTACCAACTAGGTTGAAGCACAATTATTTGCCCTATGCACAATGACAATAAAGGACGATTTCTTGACTTGACATTGAAAAGTGTTATTCATAGAACAAGTAACTTATCACTATGGTTAAAAGTTATAGCAATGTCGTTTTCACATTAAAAGTAAAGAAAGGCAATAAACTCCAATTTCAGTTAGGCTCTGTAACACAAAAAAGTATTTTTAAATAATCGTTTTACACTTTATTGGTCTTAATTGTTGATATAAGACATCTATAAATGAATCTGTATTAAAGAAATAATAAAATGAGCTTTTAAAATATTGTTTGGTTGTATGTCCTTTGAACTTAATGAAATTTACATATAAGATGCTTAAAAATAATGCAATATTTAAAAATAAGTACTAAATATGATATGGGACACCCAACTATTTGGTTCTGTTGTTGTAATGTTAGGTTTATAATGCCAACAAATTAAATACAATCTAAGAATAGTTTGTTTTCCAAGTAATGTTTGATACAATACTGACATTTTTTGTTTAAATGTTTGTTCAATAAAAAATGTAGTTGCAATTAATTTTACATTCACCTAATGTGCGTGGAATAAAAAGTAACGTCTTTGGAAAAGTAGCTAAAATTGTAGCTGTAGCTACATTTCATTGTAGCTGTAGTTGTAGCTAGCTACTTTTTCGGAACTGTAGCTGTAGCTGTAGCTTAGCTACTTTTTTGGAAATGTAGCAGTAGCTGTAGCTAGCTACATTTTAAAAGTAGCTTCCCCAACACTGATAAGTCATACTGTAATTTATCAAAGTATGATATTCTGCCGAACAGCGTTAGGTACTGATTGCAGAACCTCCGTTTTTATGTAGAGCCTCCAATTTTTCTGTAGAAAATAAAGTTGTAGACTTTCTATAGAAATATTTTCTGAAAAAAATGTTATTAACTTGTTATGTAGCATTTTTTGCAGAAACTTATACAGGTTAAGTGTAAGACAGGACCATGTGGCCCTAAATTTGCCTGTAAAAATAAGTATTGTTCATAAAACTGTTATTGCTATCTGGCAGGCTGGGCTTTCTGCAGCCCTAGCAGTCACGGTCACCGGTAGTTCTGCTTTGGGGCGATCAATAGACATCGCCCAAAGTTATTGTTTATTGTATGTTTATTGTATCGCCCCAAACCAGAACTACCGGCGAAAGTGTCACAGAAAAACTGCAAGGGCTGCAGAAAGCCCAGCCTGCCAGATAACAATAACAGTTTTATGAAAAATAATTTTTTTTACAGGCAAATTTAGGGCCACATGGACCTGTCTTGCACTTAACCTGTATAAGTTTCTGCATAAAATGCTACATAACAAGTTAATAACATTTTTTTCAGAAAATATTTCTATAGAAAGTTTACAACTTTATTTCCTGCAGAAAAATTGGAGGTTCTACAAACAGTAACGCTATACAATGTCATGCATAACGTAAATGAAAGCTGCGACGTCAATATTCGGTGCATTGATCGTAAGTAAGAACGCATAGAATAACCTTATTACTAAAGCGATTAAATGTAATAACAGTAGGTGTATTCAAACGGATACAAGCGTTTTTAAGCTAATTTGTTTCCAAATATTCATTAAGACTACCACAAACGTAGTCTTTGACTATGATTTGAAGGCAACTTCAACCGAGTAAGCCCACAAATTTTTTGGGGATATTTCCAAGTCCGTTGCAGAAAATTAAAAAAACAGTCTTTGGCGCTGTGTCTCTTATGCTAACTCATGATTGACCTTGATAAAATTATCTCAATTTGCAATGACAATATGTGTTATGTTACAGTTATCACAATTAATTTGGAAATTTGAGCTTTAAAGCTTCTAACTCGTGATTTGCGATAAAGAGTAGATTGAAAGTGTCAAGATATGTAACATATTTTATCTTTGTAACCTATATTAGAATGGTTTGATAGGTGAAATAAAATATATAAATTATTAAATGGCTTTGTTACAAAAAGCACTGATATATTTCAGAGTCAACACTTACCGAAACTCTACCTCTTGTTCCTCTGTTGACTGTTCTATGCTTGCCAGATCTGTTTGAGGTACATCGTCGTCTAGCTCGATTGTTATTGTATCCTGTCAACATTTTAATACATTACAAATGATATTTTCTAAATCATGTGTTTTTTATCTGGTGAACAGCAATTTTGACTTCGGGACAGAAAATGATTTTGGCTCTTCATTTTCGGGACGGTACAAATAAGTCTAATGGTACAATAATTTTAGACTGTATTTATTAAAAAAAAACGTGAATACAAGTACAAAGCACTAAGCAGGTGGTTTTGTTACAAAACAGTCCTTAATTAAATTAATGCCAATCGCCAATAGCTCTTATCGATGTGATGACGTCGAAACCCTTCAGGACTAGCCTGAAGTAATGTGTAAAATGGTTCTGAGCTAGAACCTAGTGTTATAAAATGTAAAGTGAGATATAAAACACGAAAACACAAAAAAGTTGACAAATCTACTCGATGAATAATAAAGACAGTACAGCTTATCCTTATTATCCACGATTATAAGTGGCTGGGTGATTGTGGGTAATGACACCTAACCTAAAATGCCCAGGAAATAGCTAACATTGACCTTGAATGTATAGTTAAAACAGGTTTGGGTAAAAACATTTGAAACGCAGTATAACCTTTTCACTTTGTTTTGCAGACATTTTGTTCTATTTACAAAACAAATAATATTGGAGAACCTATGTATAGACCTAGTGATAACAAAAGTTTAAACATACTAAATACAGCAACCAACTCATTGGTTGAAATAAAGTTAAGTAAACAACGTCAACTCTATAGACAGCCGTGAGATGATGAGACTCCTAAAGCACATCATAGCCATCGTTGTATAGGCCCAATGTACATTTAACTTGCTTAGTATATTTTTATTCCAATTTTTTTTCATGCAAGCATTGTCAATCCACTTCTGGATAATCGTGAGTCTACTGTAATTGGATGAAAAAAATATAATTTAAAAACATATCAACTTTTGTACAAGTGTCTTTAAAATTAGACGGGCCTGTCTCTTGTTTTATATGTTTTAAATGTTTTTTTATCGTCTTTTGTGTGTGTGTAAACTGTAAAGTTTGAGGACGCCAATTCTGGTGGATAGACATATCATAGGATGGCATTTTGATGCCGAAACTGCCGTAATTTACAGAAACTTCAGAGCTGTGACGAGGTAATTGTATTATTATACTATAGTCATCAATTATCTCAGGGGCTAAATCATGTTTATTGATTTAAAAGTAGGCCCATCGTTAACAATGGTGTAGGCTACACAAAAGATGTAAAGGTTAAAGGTTTACTAAAATATAGCCAACACATTTTTTATGATACATGCTTGGTTATAGAGAGAGATAATACGAGTAGACTGATCGTGTTCATGTCCTGTGATTACGGCAAAACCCTTCCATCCTGTCATTTCCTTTCCAGACTACCTTGGTCACGAAATTAGGTAGGGCAAGTATTTTGTTCCGTTCTACCCTGATTTTTAGAATTCCAGCACTTCAAATTTTTAAGTTAATATTCGGCATGCTTTAACATAATACAATATCCTCCCCAGCATAATTGATTGGTTACCCAACAAATTTAGGAGAACGAAACTGATACAATCAGTGATACATACCCTCAAGGCGATGTTGTTAGGCTCTGTTTGAATGTTGGACAAATGAGACAAACGGTGAGCCTCGAGATCTTGTTTACTCTTCACCTGCGCTCCACACTCGTCACAACTGAAGAATGGATAGGAAACACTGTTACTTTTGCAATAGACAGGAATGTACCTTAGCTTTTCCGTTGGTGAAATAACACTATTATTTTATTACTTCCTTGACAAATACGTTTAAGCCGGATCGCTGATAGGAGGAAGACATGATCAGCTTTATTTCTTTCTTACCATCAGTTCAGACGACGTTACCGTAAGAAATGCACTTCAAAACTACAACGGAGCCCTTGGAAACATTTACAACGGATGGGCTTATTTGATGGCGAACCGATCTGTAGGCATTGTGATAGGTCAGAGGAGACAGCCAATAACCTGCTCTTTGATTGTGACGAGCTCTCTGATGCTAGAAGGACAACTCTTGGCAATGTGGTGAGAGGAAGATATCTTCCCGAAAGGAACTAATTGGAAGACTACAGGCTTTCACCGGATGCCTGAATTTGTAAAGTCTATCAAGGAAACAACTGTCTGGGGTGCACAATAATTCTACTTTTCGGATTAAGTGCTTTATGGTCTTGGCCTGCCCCTGTCAGATAAGATGATAAGATGAAAAAGTCAAATAATCTAAATGTTGTATTTTGTTGGCCTCATTGATAAAACTTTCTTGATTCTGTTTGTTAAAAAAATTCAGTCATATTGGTCTGCTAAGTGGTGATGTTGGTTACGTTTATAGAGCAATCCAATTCAGTCGACGATTTGACCACACTGTGACTCAAACCAACTTTTGCAACAAAATAACTCATTTAACATACTTCATCACATTTAACAATTAATGTCAACAATATAAAGAGTATGTTTACAAGTTTATTTTGATATGGCTATGTTTTGCCTTCGCTACTTGATTAATTGCAAAACACTTGTTTGTTAAGTGGCTACTAAATAGCAATAAATATTGTTTTGTGATTTGGAGTTTGCACAAACTGAAGCTATTGTGAGTGTTCATTGAAACTTCCTCGTCCAACTTATACAATTAGGACAAGAAGGATCCTTCCTTTCTGATTTTATCTTTCTTGAACTTCTGTGAATTTTTTTTGTGGCACATTGATGCAAGATTAATGTTTTCAGGACATTATTGACAGCAAAAACTTATTGCCTATAGTAAGCCGAATGTAGTATAAGCAGATATTTACCTGAAACTCTTAGCGTCTTTATGAGTAGTCTGGATTATGCTGGCGTTGTAAAGGTTACCAGATGCTAAGCCCAGTTCTAACTGTTCACCCTGTAAACAAACAAAACCATATTAGCAAATTCTAAATTGTTAACTGTAAATTCTTTAAGCTCATCAGGACTGATCACGCAGTAACTTAAATACCGGCACTGGGCACAGACCTAGGCAGGGAGAGTCTACCCTCGGTTACAGGTACAAAATGCGTCGCCAGTGGACCGTAAGACTACCGGTAATGAAGAAATACACTCTACCTATTCCTACTATTGATATAAGTTTTCTCAACCATGGTTTAAACATTTAGATTATTATATGCTAATAATACGGATTTGCAAACACAAAAAATGCATTTCCATAATATAGAAATAATTAAATATTATAAATGGTCACGGAAACCGCTGAGTTCAACAAAAGTTGGAAGAGGGTGATGGTATCAGTAATGAAGCCTAAAATGAGTAAAAATGTAAATGAACACAGTAAAATGTTACAAATTTAGTTAACTTTTTTGTTTTAAGGAATAACAAGCTGTAGGCCCGTCCTACGTACGGGAATTGAGTAGTCAGTAAATGTATATAATTCAGAACAGCTAGTTTACACGCACAAAGACAAATTCTCACAGTTTTAGTATGAAAAATCAACTTGTAAACAAATAACACCTACCACCCATGTTTCATATGATTATAGACCTATACGATATACATTTTAAATATAATATATTATTACAATAAAAAAGCAATTTTTATAAGTGAATAGCCTTGAAGTGAGATTGGCGGCCGATTCGCACACTGGTTATACGTACAGTAGCTACATATCACCTTCCATTGCATACTATCACTTACACTTACTATACCTTATCTTACCTCCGTGGCCAGTGAAACCTTAAGAGATTTCTGACCTCCCATTCTCTTCTGTCACCTGCCTTTTCTACTGTAGACCTCAGTTTGGAGACTTCTTTCATTACTTCTCAAACAATTTAACAAAATATTTGAAGTGACCCACCTGCAGTGTAATGCCGGGGAACTCGAAGCCTTGGTCAAACAGAACCACTTCCTTATCTAGTGTGCTCAGGTCAGCTGTGCCGTACAGCTGTTGGTTCAGCCGTTCTTCTATCTCTCTGATACTCTCCTGGTGACAAATAACATGTAAATATTTTGTAAGGCTTCTTAACCAGTCAATAATTCAATTTATGGAAAAATCTTTTATAGTCCTCGCCACCCTAACTTGAGGCAGCCCAAGGCCGCACGCCGTATCTAGTGCGGCCTTGGGCTGCCTCAAGTTAGGGTGGCGAGAATTATAGTAAGATCCGATATACAATCGCTTGTACATATCTTTGTTTTACTGTCATAAATGTCTAAAAATGTGTGAATGTGCTGTCCTATTTATTAATATTTACTATCATTTAACGACTTTCACATGAAACAACTAGACATTTTGACTAGCCTGAGGATGACTGCCACACGAGTCGAAACCGTTAGCCATATCACAACACTTTGATCGCATAAATGCAGGTATTTTACACCAATTTATAGTATTGTAAAAAGGTTAGAATACCTGTTCGTTACTCCCTAGTAGTTTTTCTGCCCCTATACTCGACAACGCATTTTTATGTAAATACACCATCATCAGGTTACAACTTGAAGAAATTTGAAACATTGTTGAGTTCGTCAATATTTACAAAAAGCACACAACACGTTAACCCCTTCCAGGACTAGGTGGATATATCCGCTAGCATTTTGTGCATAGCGGACGGTAGGGGAATATCCGCTTATCTTTTTGGGCTTCGCAGACAGTAAGGAAATATATCAGCCGATGATTACGACAGCTATTGTTACAGTTGATTGTCTATAACATCATTAATCTTCGTAAAAACGTCCTTAAATTATATGTTTAACGTAGTTTATGTACTAGGAATGTTTTTTTTTTTAGAATAAGAAATTTAATTTTAAAAAATGTTATAAAAAAAGTAGCCTACATAAGAAAAAATTACTAAAAAGTTAAAAAAATATTTTGGACATAAGTGCTATATAGGTCAACAATTTACAACATTCTACAAATTATAGATACAAAAAAATATTTTTTAGTTTATATTTAAGTACGGTAAAATAATTTTACATACATCTATACATACAATAGGTCCTCTGGGAAGGGATAAGAAGAAAAAATTGAAAATTAAATGCTATAATGTTAGTATTGTATTGTAGTGACTTACCTGTGTGAGTGTGTCTTGACCAGAAAGATTGGGAAGAGTCACTGTTCCATTAGCATCAGCATGCAGGGTCTGACTAATGCCTTCACCGACTCCATCCACTGCAAAAACACAACAGTCATTAATGTATGGCAGGCAGACATTTTGAAATTTATACTGAAGTAGTCAGTAGAAGTAACTACAGGTTTCAGAAAAAACATATTTAAATATCTGGGAGTAACAATCACAATAACTGAGAAGATGTTGAAATTCAAAACAAGACTCACGGCAGCAGAAAGATCATATTGGAACCTAATAAAATTATTCAAAAGTTAACTTCTTTCCGAAATTACAAAAATAAGAACGTATAAAACTATTGTGTAACCTGTAGTGCTATACGGTTCAGAGACTTTATCTTCCACCAAAAGGTACCAAAAAGACTTATAACTTTTGAAAATAAAGTATTGAGAAGGATTTTAGGACCAATAAAAGACAAAGATTCGTGGGAAATTAGAAAGTTGAGAGAATTGTACAGGGAACCAGATATTGTGGAAGTGGTACAGCTCGTGACACCTAAGCTGGCACTTGGCCTAGCGCGGGCAGTGTAGGCGGGAGGGTGGAGGTAGGGAAAAGACCAGACTGCAAACATTTCCCCTGCCTCACGGCGTTGACTACCCTTGTATTATGTACTTGAGCGCCTTCATATGGGTCGCGAGGACAGTTGATGCTACCCGCATGACGGGACATAATGTTTTTGAAATAGGTACTAGTACCGATCGGCCAAGTGCCAGCTTAGATGTCACAAGCTGTAAAGAGTATAAGGTTGAGATGGCTGCCATTCAACACTGAGGTGAGAAATAGATGGTAAAGCAAGAGCTAATTTTGAGGTACTTGGGGTGCAGAAGACCATTGAGAAGACCAAGAATGCGATGGGTTGACAAGGTTGCGAAGGACCTAGAGAAGACAGAGGATCCTGGAGGCACATGGTTGACGAGGCCAAAGACCGTCTAGGTTTTCTATGGCCACAGGAAACTAAAATAACCAAACCAGTTTATTTATCAAAAGATTTTACAATAAAAGTGTCATTTTAAAGTGCTTTAAATTTGATGCTGTGTATAATATAGATCCCTAAAAGAAGTTTTTACAAAGATCAGTTAAATGTATACAAAGATTTAAGTTTTTGTGTATAAAAAACAAAATGAAAAATATCTGGTAAAAAAAGCATTTTTGAGAAAATAAATTATTTCTGATTTTTTTTTTATATTTTGTCCCACAAACAAGCCTGCATTTTCATGTAACACGCTAACGGCCTGAGAGATATTTGTGCCCCCGACCATTGGCAATAATTTTTTTTAACCCAAATCAACCTAAAACCTCTTGCGCTTTGGGTCCCATACTGAAGCGGCCCATCCCATAACACCTCTTCATGGAGTTTGAAACTTTACTTATGTGCCTCCCCGTGTAACTAATCTAATTCAATGCTCTCAGACGAAGTACAAAGTATACAACAAAAAATTTGGCAACAGATAAAATATAAAGTTGTGTTGTGAGTAGAAATATTATCAAAACAGTTTTATTTATTCACAAATTTAAAGAACTACTAAATTGTACCTCGAGATATGATGATTGACGAGCTGATATTGCCATCATTGACAACGAGAGCCTCTATGTTAGGCATTGCTGTTGCTATCAAGTCTGCCTGCGATGCTGTTCCCGTCTCCGGTTCTACCTCCTCCACATCCACCACTGCCTCACTTTCCCCCTCCTGTCCCTCGTCCTCCGTCACCTCCTGTTGAGAGAGAAGAAACCAAACAGCTGATTAAAAAATAATGGTGCAATAACAAACAGCTGTTGTTTTCCTGTCTATATTTAAATAGCCATTAATGTCAACAATGGAAAGAGTTGAAAATTCAAACAATGGAAAGGACAAGTTTATAAAATTGTGTTGATATGTTATGTTTTGTCTTGCCTACTTATTTAACTGAGCTAGACTTGTTTATATAATGGCTACAAGGCAACACAGTGCGTTTTGTAAGTCAAAGTTTGCTCAAACTGGAGCCGTCATAACTGAACGTAGCTTTCTCATCCAACAGATGCAGCTAAGCATAAATAATCCCTTAACAGTATTTCCAAGTTCTTTTTACAGTCACAATGGCTCCTCCCCCAACGTGTCCAAACAAAAAGAATCCTCTGTGAGTTTTTTTTATTTTTTGTTCTGTGACAGATAGGCTTATTTTAGATTGAATGTACTCTAACCTAACCATAACTGTGTTTGATTAAATGTTTGTGAATTTGTTTCCTTGACGAAGCAATAGCGGATTATTAACGTTGAAGGTGTTGGATAACGGCATAGCAGCCAAAACATGTACATCAAAATCAACAGGAACTGCAGACAAAGATATTTATTGAGCGGAGTGAGCGAAGCTCTCATACTGCACTCCTGCTTTTGTTTTACAATTACTCCTGCTGAACCGCTGAAGCCTATACGCATGAAATTTATCACACTAAATACTTTAATACTTTACTTTCTTATGAAATAGCGAACATACGAAAGTATGTATTTTAAGCCAAGTATGAATGGAGATAGTAACAAACTATAGGAAAGTAAAAGTCTGAAATGGTAGAAAAGGGACAAAAGGGATTTTCTTTACGTGAATTAAAATTTTTTGAAATTTAACATGGGCTTTATGGGTTTATTGGTTGCTATGACATTATTTGCAAGTTACAATAATAAGGTAAACAAAAGAGTCATAACATATGTTAGTCAATGAATAATCTAAACTATATTACAAATAGGCCTACAGAACGAAAGGGAAGAACAATCGGATTAATATCGTTGAGCATAATTTACTACAAAATGAATAACCAAGGGTCACCGGAATTAGGCTAATGCACTATTGGAAACTGCAAGTAGATTTCTCATTTATATGAACCAGATGAAGCATTGACTTTGGAAAAGTATTTTAATATGCTAGCTCTGTTCAATATTACAAGCAGACAACTGCATTGTACACCTAGTTTAAAGAGTCTAATATTTTAAGGGTTATTTCAAGGGTTTACTCACAGTCAATACGAGTTTGTGAGTCTTGATGTGTTTCCTACAGGCGCTGTGTGTCTTGTACGTTCTATTGCAGTAAGGACACATGTACGGGTGTCCGAGTGTGTGCGTCTCTAAGTGTCGTTGAAGAGAGCCCTTAGTACTCAAGTACTTGCCACACGTCCCACAACGGTGTGTCTTGAGCATCGTGTGCGTCCGCATGTGACCCTTCAGCACACCCGCAGACGTGAACGATCTGTCAACCATTATTTGATTGAAATACATATATTTGGAAAGTGGCTGGTTAGGAATTTAAGGAAAATCAATAGAGCTCAGCTAGCTTTATTTAAACACAATTTCCATGAAATTACCAATTATTTACCATTTAGTATTAACTATGCATTGTTATACGTTACAAGTCTTTGACTTCCCAAAGCCCCTAACCTCAAAATCTAAGAGACCTCCATGTTATCTGAGATTCTCAGTAACCGAGATAGTCTCAGTCCCAATAACTTTGGTTAATCGGGAGTATACTGTGGTCAAAATTATCATAAGTCAAAAGTTATAATAGGGAACTGTTGAAATAGTCTTTAGGAATGAACTTGCTTTGGTGGTGAAGAATGAGTAGAAATATAAGTTATGTTTTAGTTTAAATACACATTATGTTTTCCCTCTTTTTCTTTGGTGGCCACAGTTAACAACTATGGATATCACCGTTTTCAGATAGAATCTAAGCGTATAGACTACCTGTTACAGAGGTTGCAGACGTAAGGACGTTCGCCAGAATGTGTCCGCAAATGCACCTTGAGATGGTTACTCTTGCGGTAGCTCTGACCACAGATCATACACTGGTGCGGCCTGTCTCCAGAGGATGACGACCGAAATTCTCTTAATGATACTATCTGCATCAGACCTAGACGTTCAAAAATATTTTTATGTAACAGTAAAAAATAATGCAATCAATAGATCTCCCGCAAATGTTAAGACATCATCATCTCCTGCGATCGTGGCATAATCTTGAACACCACCTGTAATCGTAAAGACATCATCACCGTCACCCGTGATCACGCTGGTATTTTAAAAGAATTATGTGTTTTCGCCAGTCGACAGTCACAGAAGTTATTGTACCTAACTTGTGTCTATCACATAAACCAACTTAACCTCATTTAACCCTCCAAAATCCTCCCCCACTACCTTTTTACATCGTCAAACTATAAGTCCCGTAGCACGGACGCCGTCATCAAGATTCTCCTCTTGAGCCTAGAGTTCAGTTCCAGGTGTCATCTCTCGTGTTTTGTTTCTGTTATTATTTAATATTTACGTTAACGGTGTAATTCATTTTGACATAAACGTCAGATTTCTTTCCCAACGTTTTTTAAAACTATGACAAGACTAACTGTCCAATTCTACAACCGGTATAATCATCCCTTTGGGAACCGGTTAAAATAGTAGTAAATAAAGTGAAGGTAATGATTTTGGTTTCAGGTTTAAACTAGCTTTCTTTGCTGCAACGGGATCTTAACGGAGACCTAGATTTATAGAAATACCTCATATTTACTATGTTGCCCTAAAAAGACGAGTCGTCTATAGTGTTTTAAATCCCAACTTAACAGCAAAGGGTTAAGTTCAGCTATTAAGCAAAGAATATACCATGAAATGTTTCAGGGACACTTGTCTCTGTATTGGAGATCTTGCACCCACCTTGATCAGTGATGACCAGTGGTCTCTGATATACAGCTGGGATCATAGTTTCAGACTGCTCTACGCTGACTGCTGTATCAGCTGGCTCTTGCTGTGGCGTGTCGTCTGCACTAGCCTCTACCACCCGCACTGCTTGTGCTTCTTGAGCGTCGTCCGCACTCTTGCCATGTTCTGCCCTAAAAAATAAGTAATGGATCTCAAAGCTGTAGGGATTACTTTTGAAAAAGGGAAATTGTGATATTGCCTTGCCAATTCAAACTTATTGGATTAAAAATAAACATCCTTTAGAGAGAGATTTGATTGACAATTATGACACCAGATATAAGCATATTTTTTATTTACCACAAAAGAAACAAATGAATCAATATCAATTAGTAAAACCTATGCAGTTTTCAATTAAATAAGAAAAGTAGTTATTTGTGCAATTGGGCAAATTGGTACTTTTTTCAACCCTCCGTCAGTCAAACTTATTTTTTAATGCGACCGGTCATACTATATCTCTCAGGCTATATACATTTTTCCTTAACATTTTTTTTACTTTAGACATAGTTTTTTTTCAATAAAAATATGCTACAGCTGGTCCATACGGATGTCTACTTCAATCCATAAGTCAATGTTTACTAGCTGCTTACTTTTTATGTGCTTTGAGGTCGCTAGGAGTAGTGAACGCCTGATCGCAGGAGTCACACCTATGTTCTTTCCCGTCGTGATGTATCCTCAAGTGGTTGACTAGTGTGGATCGAACTGTGAACCCTCGGTTGCAGATCTTACACTGAAACAATATTGGTAATAGTTGAGCAATAGTAATAGTTTTAGATTCATATTTTACATGTTGCCTTTGCTTAGAAAATATTATTGGTAGGAATATAAAAATATAGCAATCACTTTGGTTAGTTAAAGTTTTTTTTTATTATTTTGATGTAAGTATAGGATAGGCTACTTAGGCCTACAACCCAAACAACACTCAGAAGTAAATAAATGGGAACAGAGTCTTTAAGGATAACTTTACTCAGGGTCGTAATAGTGGGAACGTGGTGAGGCTAAAAGTGTGTAAATAATGTTATAAGTTACTTCACTGTTCTTATAAGTTCACTTGATTAAGATGACTAATCAAATGAAAGGAGTACCTATATTATATTTTTCTTATCACTTTTGTGATTTTTAAAAGTTTGCCTATTCTAATTATAATAATAGTTGTATTTACTAGGCTATTACACTAACGCCTCTACAAATACCACCAATCGATATCATACATGTGATAATGTGCAACCTTTTTCGTTAGAGGTTGGCGGCTTCTTTTAACCTTGCATTTGCCCATCCACATAGGCTATGGGCCTGTGTGTGGGACGTATCCAGCAAAGCAAGGGGAGCATGTACAGTACAAAGGTGATCTGTAATAATAACAAGCTGCGGCAGTGGCCATTGCTGCCTTAGGCCCGAAGTCCGTGACGCTACCGACTGAGTCACTCACCAACTTTAGGACTAACCTGAAGTAATGTGTAAAACAGTTCTGAGCTAGAACCTAGCGTCCTAGAATGTGAAGGTGGGACTTTAAAAAGAAAAAAAACTTATTTGTGTATTTTTTACAATTTAAAAAACTGCAGAAAGATAGTAGAGCTATAAATATGACTTACTGACCATGCTACCAGCCACCTGTACACCCCATAACTAACACAATAGACTAAAGAAATACGCCTATTAGTGCAATCGGCTGGTTTCGCCTCACTCTGGGTTATATTTCACTAAAACTCACCTTGAATGGTTTCTCCTGAGTGTGTATACGAGTGTGTCTAACCAGATCCGAGGGTTTCTTGAACTCTTTACCGCAGAAAGTACACTGATGCCACTTAATGGACCCGACCTTTCTCTGTTTGATTGTTGTGTGCCTGAAATAATAACAAACCAAAGAGTTAACTTTATTAAATTTGAAAAACCAACATAATTATTAGTGACGGCATATCAATTGTGAGCAGTCACGGTGAAATTATAAACATCTCTCGCAATGCGCAATCTGTACAGATGGTTTTTTGATTAAGAAAATACAGTCTACTCTCGGTACTTCAAACACCTAATATATTGAAACTTTCGATAATTCAACATAAAAGCTCAGTCCTTAGAGAATCTCTTAATATTTTGAAGTTTTACAATGCATTTTGGTACACTTGGTATTTTAGAGTCCAAGCAGAGGGCAGGCCAATTTGGCAACAAGCAGTAGTTTAAAGTTTTGTTGGCAAAACACTCTGTAATTGAGAGATTCCTTACTGTCATAATAGGAAACCAAACATCCTGATAACACAGTAGTGTAGGATATCTTAAATCGCTATCTCGAGCCACAGACAAATAAGATTCAGAGGAAACACTCAATGGTACACTTAAGTGGTGTGCACCAATCGCTGGTGTCTGGAGCAAATTAAATTTGATTCATTGTCCTCCTCTGCTCTCCTTTCCACCCTCGCCATCACGTGCTACAGCGCTCATGCTGTAGGAAGACCCTGTGAGCTACAACTGCTGTTGTAAACAATCACCATTCAGGCTCTTCCTTGCTCGGAACAAGTATATTTCCACCTCACCATTCCAGAACTAAAAGCGCAACGTTGTCCCATAAGCTTTTATACTCTGTATTTTACTTTTCTGTGCTTGAGCCAACTGTTGGCCATCAAACTTGAAAATTCCAAGAGACCCGAAGAATCTTTTTTTTCTCACAATTTTGTAAACCTATTCAAATCCAACACAAAATACTAATTAACTTGAAATAACAGTTATGTGTTAATGATGAAACTTAACAATGAAAATATTACTATAATTACATACTCGACTCTCCCATCATCCAGTTTATTATAGATGGTGATCACTTGATGACTAATTCCATCCTTCTCCTCTTGAGCATCGTTCTCTGTAAAACGAAATAAAAATTAATTTTATTGATGTAATGAAACATTTTGAAACAATATTGTTAGGAACCCGAAAAACGTCGGACTTAATATCTTGGGCAATTGCAAGTGTGTGTGTCTAACTGTATAAACGAGTCCTGGATATCACCGGACAATAACAAAGGTGGATGAAAACCAGAAAATTTCACAAAAGAGTTTTTCTATTTGGAAGACGTTCTTAAAAAACAAATCAACGCTTAATCTATTGACAACACATTAGTTTTGATAACTTCTACTATTGTCAAACAAAGTTTACCTAGTATCAGTTATAAATTATATATACATCTAATAAAGTTACAGTAGAATCTCTTTATCAAGTCGATGGGAATCATAGAATAAGACTTACGAGTTGTAATTGAGGTTGACTTGTTTAAGAGGTTTGCAAAAGCAGAGGCTAATGTAAATGCAAAGGTATTTGAAAATTACCCTTGCTATCAAGGGTCTTGTTATCGAGGTTCCACAGTATCTACATGCTAAATAATTAGCGTGTTGATTGCTAAATGATAATCACAACCTAATCAAACTCCAAACCTAACCTAGTTTAGAGGATCGCCTAGTTAACCTAGAATGTTACATTTGAAATAAACATGACTTATTAACATTTATTTTTAAATGTAACAATTTATTTGAAATAATAGAAAATATTATTTGCACAGGCCACACTAAAATTATCACTAAAAATCTCACCCTTATCTGAAGTGTCTTTGGTGCCATGTGTTGCCTGATCCGTGCTGGATTTGGACTGAGGGAGATCAAGTAATCTCTTTTCAGCCTGAAAATTTGACACAAAACTTTAAAAGCATTAATAAACCTAGTAGCTTACCTCTGGTAAGATTTGATAATTTGAGTGCATATGATTAACCTACAGAAGATTTTTTTTCAGAAGTCAGAAAAAAATAATGTTTGCGGTTTTGTTAAAATTATGTTTTTTTTTTATTGAAATTTCTTTTCCTAATGTGAATGATCAAATTTGGTTCAAACAAAACTAATTTTTGTGTACTTTAAATAAATATTTTTCTTAAAAAATTTAGTTATCCAGATTAATGATTTTCCAGACGGAGTCCGGTTTCAATCGATCCAGTTAGTTGGAGCAAAGAGAAGTAAGGTACAGAGGATACAACTTATGGGACGTCCGTGCGCTTTCAGCTCTGGAATGCTGGGGCGGAAATATACTTGAGATGAGCAAGGAAGAGCCTGAATGGCGGTTACTGTGCGGAAATCCCTATCGCAAAGGGCACAGGGTGTTCCTCTAACATGAGCGTTGTAGTACATGAGTGCAAAGGGGGCAGAGATGGTCACTGCCCTAGACACCAGCTCTAGCGCTAGACACTACTTCAGTGTTGTACCATTGAATGTTTCCTCTACATCTTACTTTTCTGTTGTTGGAGTTCTACTGTACATTCTATGATCCATTAGGTACGGTAATAATTATTTTTGATAAAGCAGTTGTGCGACATTCACTGTGGACTCTATTTAGCACCATAGAAGTTTTATTGTTACCCAAGACCCTAATGCGCTCTGAGCACTTTCTCTTATAGTAATTTCAAGTGCTACAAAGATTAAAAGGTTTATCTAAACCCCTGCAGTTTTTAAGTGTTACTTGTCTTGTGTGTAACGTCTTTGTTTTTAAAATGGCTGGTAAGCTTTAAGCTACTCATTGTGGACAACTTATCCATCAAATGAAGTGTATTTCATCTTCTTCTAATGAAAATAAATATCGCAGTAGAACTTTCTCTAATCTTATAATAAGATTTTTAGTGAGGATAGCAGACTTACCTGAATGGGAAAGAGTCCAAACTGGCAAAATTCACAAAACTTTACATTATATACACACAAAATTAGAATATTTCACTAGCGTTTTCAACTAAAGAGGGTGTTTTTAGGCCTTGAAAATCACAATAACTAGGCCTAAAAAACTCTCTTTCTTAGTTGAAACTGCTTGTGAAATATTCTAATGTTTGTGTAGATAATGTTTTATGTCTATTGTGCCAATTTTGACTCTTTCCCATTCAGGTTAAGAGAACTATTAACCAACGTTTGTAAACACAAATATACAGTGGTAACATGGACGAGAGTTTTAACGTACCAGAGGTACGGAGGGAGTGTGCATTCTGTTAACATGAGCGTTTAGACTGCCGAGTTTACGGAACACACAAGAACACTCAGAGCACTGGTACACCGTCTCTTGCGTATTGGGAATCGAGTGCAGCCTGACCACATGCGCTCGTAAGTTACCTGCAATCATACATGTTCTGTTTTATAAACCTAGTGACTACAAATTTGAATAAATATTTTTTAAAGAAGCCTTTGATTGAAATGTATACTATTACAGATTTCAGAGTAAAGATAGTATGGTTCAATTTTTGTGAAGATAGCAAACTTACCTGAATGGGAAAGAGTCAAAATGACAGCTTACCTTTCTGGCTGAAAGCCGCACTACAAAACTGACATTGGTAGGGTCTCATTCCTTTGTGTTTGGACATCATGTGTATCAGAAGAGACCCCTTCTGGTTGAAGGATCTTGGGCACACATCACACTGCAAGACAAAACAAAAACAATTAATGATTTACTAAAATTTTAACCTGCTTAGAATAAAAAAGTAGATTGCAAAAAGATTATTAAGTTTCCCCTCCATAATCAACACGATTTAATCTTTACGCCACACTACATTATTTTGACGAACTTCCCACGCAAGGATTTAGTCCAGAAAACAGCTGTTTGCCGCCAGCTTATACAAATGGGGTTTCATTGCATGATACTGTTCTGCAATGAGTTTTACCGGACACCAATCAGCTGATTATACTGTATTTGCGTGGCAATGATTTGTTATAAACAAAAACATAACCTCTTTATGACTAGTGATTTTTAGTCCTTTAGTTGGTGGAAATATATAAGGATTTGTACGGCTTAAGTAGTATGGCGTAAACGATCGTACGTAACTCGTCCAAAATGTGTTTACCGGACTCATATGGTAATCCCGTACTCGACTTCGTCTCGCACGGGAACGACCACACTCGTCCGGTAAACACTTACTTTCAGGACTAGTAACGTAATATACTATTGTAGTCCTATGCTGTAAAAAGGTAGAGAATACCCGGTAGCTCCTTGTGATTCCTCTATTCCTTGAAAGGATTACGCATTATCAGGTCGCACAAAACTTGTTGAAATTTTCACGTCAAAGTTTACAAAAACCACAAACATTAAGGGGACAAAAATTTGTATGCTTCTGTACATAAGCTAGTGAGTAAGTACATTACAGTACCGAGTCTCAAAAAGGAGAAAGTCCATTTGAGGAACAAAGGAAACCCAAGGCAGTACCAGTAATTCTATCTACCTTTTTACAGTTCAGCACACATGATCCTGGATAAACGACACAATGTATTCCTCCAATATACCTCTGGAAGTTTCATCGACGGAATCAAAAATGGCCAGCATCAACATGAACCCAATCCTTTCGCTCTATAAAGCAGAAAACAATCCAATACTTTTTAAACAAGTAAATTCATTTTAAATAATATATCAATTTAAATTAATTAAATGATACTTGAGTGTTTCCTTCAAGGCTATTTATTTAATTCCTTCTTAGGCTAAGAGACTGATAGTTGTAGTTTTGCACGTTTGATTGTTTGTTGACCAATTGCAGTGTGTTTACAGTTAACTCTAGAATTTTTAAAACCAAATTTATTTCAAAATATTTTAGTGTAGTTGCTTGGTAAGTGCTGAGTGTGTTCGGAAGTGTTGTTTAACTTAAGCTCATGTCAAAGAGAGTCACTTTAGGTCCCAGACGTGAAATATATTATGAATATAATCACACTAAATCTGAGGACACACCTCTTTCAAGATTATTAAATTTTTTTCTTGATTTAATGCCAGGAAGGGTGTTACCACAATAATTAAAGTGATACTGTGACTGTGAGGAGTGTTTTGGTCTTCTTTGAGGAAGGAATCATACCTTAATTGTAGCAGCTATACCTAAAAGGTCTTCTAAACAAAAAATAAATAAATAAACTAGATCAAACTTAGCATGCTATACCTTGAAAGGTTTTTCTCCAGTATGGATCCTGTTGTGTCGAATCAGCTGACTGGGTTTCTGGAAACTTTTGCCACACTCGACACATGAGTGCAGCAACCGTCCTCTGCGCAGCGCTCGGTTGTAGCTATTGGCACTTAGTGCAGCCTTTACCTGGTTCATAAATAATATTTACCTCTATTGTACCATAAATTCTGTAATGTTTACTTATTTTAACAGATAAAATATATTATTATTTTTATTATCAAATGAACATGTTTTCCTGTCTTTGCTTTAGGCAAAAACAAAGGCATTAGCTTAAAAGTCCACAGTGAACGTCTCCTGTGGTTGTAGAAAAATCTAGAATATCACCCTTGGCTGTGACAAAATCATGAGTGTCATTGCGATCGTGGAGAAATGGACATCTTCAACGGTCGTGGGGACATCATCATCGTCTGCTGAAAATCCCTTGCAAACGCAATGAAACAGTAAATTTTCAATCACACAATCTTCACGGAAGCTTTCTACTGTCATAAATCCATCAGCTTACATACTGAATCTCTAACATGAGTTAACCAACCCGAGCTTCTTTAAATTATTTCTGGTTCGAACTGAGCTTTTGGCCAACGGTCGGCTCGGTCTGACTTAATAATGTAAAAGACCTGCAGAGCCCTATCTGAAAAAAATCTTTCCCCCATTATTTAGGTTAGGAGAGGTTTACTGAAGTTATATTAATAGGCTAGTTATGAAGTGGAAGACTTTTCAATAAACAAAGGTGTACCTACATTTGCGGTGGGAACAATATTTGCTGCGGGAAAATTGTTTACTGCGGGAGCATTATGTGTCGTCGGGAGAATATTTACCTTGAAGTGGTCCTTGATGTGTTGTCGTAGCACCGAGGCCTTGGAGTATTTCTTGTCACAGTTCGGACACTGATAGACTCTGGCCGGAGGCTTCACCCACTCGTCATCATGGCTTTTCATGTGTTTATCTAGCTGAATCTGCAGCACAACTCATATTGTATCAGGCTCAGGTACACAAGGATCAGATTACCTCACAAAATTATCTGTGACCTTCGTATGATCACATTAGAGGAGGTAGTCAAACCTTCATTTTATTGGTAAAAAAATCTAATAAGTGACAAAGCTCATTATTTGAAAAGGTATAGACTGGAGTAGGACTTCTTCAGAGAGTATGTTGAAGGGAAATTTGTTTTCTCTTCCAACCTTAACTTTCCTCTTTGACCGATTAGACGGAATATCTATTATCTATCTATCTTCTCTATTATGTATCTATTAGCCCCTAGACTCTAATATTTAAATATTTTCAGGTAAGCTAGCTGAAAATGAGAACAGCCAAATTTCAAGACTGTAGACATAGTCTAGGAAACAAACTCTTATCTATGAAATTAGGCTGTATACAACCAACATATTTCCTCAGCATTAATGATGTGAAAATCTTAAGAATAAGTAGGTTTTATTTAGGTTATGAGAAAATGTATTTCGGTCCTCAGAATATAGATGCACACAACACTAGAAGATAATTTAATATTGCTACATCCAACCAAATCTATATCCAAATATTGCACATTGACAACCAAATCTGATCAATCATCTAGTATATTGTGCGAGGGTGTTTAGTTAAATGCCTCTGACTTCTCAAAAGGTAACTTACAGTTGACTAAGGCTTTTAGAGGCTGGTTGAATACCTCTTTTTTACTGTGGAACATATTGTATGGATAAAAAGATGGTCACTATGTTTTAATTTTAACCAATTTGAATTTCATTTTATTAGACAACATATTTAACTAACATAATTTACAAGCAGGTGTTTACCAAATTTACATTTAGGGTAGATTTACCTGGTTTCCAAACTCATCTCCACACTCAGTACAAAACATACTCTCTTCTTTCTCGTGGTGGAAGATGTGAGCTTTCAAACTGGCCACTCGGCTGAATCTAGTGTATTAAACAACACATGTTAACTATGTAATTATGAACCAAGCAGGTAAGGTTGTACGTAAATCAAAGAAACAATTAAACAATCAAATTTTGAAGATTTTAAATTTTTAGTCCATCATATTAACTTATTATTGGAATTTATCAGGCTTAAATAGTTGTTTTCTAGAAAAATAAAATTATAAATTACAACAAAAATCACTATCTGTATTACAACAATTAAATGAATAATGCTAATGGTTTTCTTACAAAAGTTTTCCTTAATTTGAGATCTCTGCATTAATTCCTTTAGATTCTAGACCGGAATTGTTTTCCACAATTTTAAGCTAGGTCTAGAAAGGGTGGTGACATTATCACTTAGATAAAATTCATTGGAGATTGGTGGGAATTGAACCCGATACCTCGGGGACCGAAGTCTGCACACTCGACTAGAACGGCTTATTCCCTGATTTCTCAATGTCAAAGTAAGGTAATTTAAAACAGACAAAATGGGGGAGTTTTTTACCTTTATATCGATTTTGTCATAAGTCATCTATCAACAATAGAAAGGAAAATCAAGTATGAATAGTCTTGTGTGATTAGAATTCTGAAGTTATCGCAAATCAGGAGATGTGTATAGAAAAAACTAGGGGTGGTCAAGTCTCGAAATTTCGGGAAATTTTCGGGAAATTTTAAATCTCGTTACACGAGACGAGATTTCTTTTTGGCCGAGATTTTTATCGAGACGAGAATAAAAAAATAAAAAAAAAATTAAAAACGCCTGCAGAAAGTCAATGCAATACCCGCAATACAGGAGCGTGTTGTAGTTGCGTTTCCTTTGCGAAGGCATTCTCATTTAATTAATTCTTTAAATGTAAATATTACTTTAATTATTTTAATAATATTACTTTAATAACATTTGAGAAGTTTTGTTAAGTGTAAGCAGTGTGAGGAATGTTTTATTACTATAGAAAGTAAAAACAAGTAACTATTTTATAAAAATTAATATTGCTTTTATTTTATGATTTATTTTATTTTAGGATAAGTTGAACTCTATCCTAACTGATATCACTATATTTCCTAATCGTAGGCATTTTTAATAAGTTAGGCGTGATTAATAAAAAAATGTTATGCTGATGTTTTTTAATAAAAGATTGTAAATATTCTTGCCTATTATCATTATTTTTGTATTTAAACAGTCATCTAACAATGTTACAAAATCAGGTAAAAATTTTGAACGTGCATTTCCCGTTGTGTATGAGAAGGGAAATCCCGTCTCGATCTCGTCTCGAAATTTTATGAGAAATAAAAAGTCTCGTCTCGTCTCGTCTCGTCTCGAACTATAAATCCAATCTCGTCCATCCCTAAAAAAACGCTAAAAGAATGAAGAAGGTTCATAAGTAAAGGGTGTTTGTTTGCAGAAAGATGTACAAAAGTGCACGATATTGACTCCATGGGTCCATCAGATTAAGAGAATGACAAAATCTGAAGAAATTTAGCTTGCAAATCATTGTGAGACTGTGCAACAGGTTGCCAAACTGATAGTGGACGTTCGTAATACTGATTCTAACAGATATTATGCAGACATAATGTCAAGTAGACATAGAAGACTTTTAGACATTATGGAATATCACAAAATTTTACCCAAGTCAGTCTTTCGGATGCTCACCATTGAACATAAGCACATAAAAATTACATATTGGCCTATGATAAACAATTTGATCAATATATTTTTAAGTTAATGTTGTAAAATACAGGCTTTATTATTCAGGTAAGAGAGGTTTTGTGATCGTGACCACTACAAATAAACTAACCTTTTAAGGCACTCTGGACACTCTAGTCGGTCAAGATTGTGAATCGCTTTATGTAAAATGAGGTTCGTCTGAAAACAAATAATTAATATCATGTAAAGAACTAAAACAATAAACAAATTATTTCTAATCATACAATTGAAACGTAAGATAGAAAGTTAATCATTACAAACACACTAAAAAAACATTTAAATGTTGTATCAGTCAAAAGGTTGATTAGCAGAAAGTAGGAAATAGAATCTTTATAAAATATTTGTATAGGATTCAAATAAGTTTGAGAAATGATCAAACTATCTACGAGTAATCGAAAACTTAAGTAGCTCACGGAAATGTTGAAAGACGCAGGACAGTCGGAACATTTGTGTGGTTTGTCGTCCAGATGAAGTTGCGAGTGTTTCCTGTATTTTGAATACTGCGGAAACTCCTTGAAGCAGATTTCACATTTGAAAGGGCCCTGTAAATAGTACATTGCATGATAATTTATGGGTGAATTAATAAGTGAACACACCCAACAAAAATAAATGATTAATAAAGTGCATAGACATTTGATATTTCTTCTTCTCCGACTTTGGTCTTAGAGCTAATGTAATGAAACATTAGCCCTAGTTCAATGTATTTTCGTTCTGAGTTTGTGTTGTGTTTTACTAAATGGTTGACCCAATTTAGATGGATTGAGATGTTTTCTTCACACTTGATTCAACACTAGTGCAGTGGTTCTAGACTATAAGTGTACTACGAACAAAGGAATAGTTGACGGAGAAAGGTAATTTAAACCATTTTAGCTTGTATCCTTTTATGATTTGGTGTGAATACCTGCTTTGATGTAATCCAAAATGTTTCTAGTAGCCTACTGCAACTAATGCTGCAAATTCAACTAAAGTTAAAGGATGTTTGTGTGTCAAGTTATCATGACATCCTTGAACGTCTGAAGACAACATTCAAAGTCAAAACTAAGTTGCAGCATTAGAAACATTTTGGATTACATCAAAACTGTTAACACCAATTCACATATACAACTTACAATAATCCGGATGCTAACATAACAAATAAATCCTTTTCTCATTACCCTTTTGAAACTATTTCCAAATATAACAAAAACATTATGTGTTACTCACCTTTCTCAAAGGAGGAGGAATATCTTTGTTAGATTCCTTATTCTGGACGGCGCTATCCTTAGCCTTCTGTGTGACAGTGGCAGACGTTGATGGTTGTTGTTGTTGTTCTTCTTCTTGTTGTTGTTGTTGTTGCCTAATTTGTATTATTTGTTGCTGCAACTGTTGTTGCTGCAATTGTTGATGCTGCAGCAATAGTGATTGTTGCTGATTCTGCTGTATCAGCAGTTGTTGCTGATCCAGTTGTTGATCTTGTTGTTCTTGCTGGATCCAGATATGTTCTGTAGGCTCTGCTTCCATCTGTACTTGAGGCTCCAGTAGAAGATCTTCAGTGGTAGTCAGACAAGACAAATCCAGAGTGTTCAACCCGTTGGTAGTCAGAGTTAGATTTTCTTTGCCACTGGAACACCAATACAACAACATTAACAAAACCGTCAACGAATCTGTCATTAAATTCCATTTTCTGTCATGTTTTCGTTAAAACAACATTTTATTTTATAAGCCTATATTTGATTGACAACACCTTTTAGAAACTAAAAAAACTTTAATATTATGTTTTTAACACATAATTTTTACCAATTTGTCATATTGCCTAGAAATATACACATTAAATAAAATAGTCCAATAAAGGATTCAGAAATTAAATTTCTGAGAATATCAATTCAAAAGAGACGAGACAGAATCAGAAACAAAGATGTTAAAAACTACTGTTTGGAAGTGACGGAGCTTTCTACCAATTATTTTAGTAGCCTAAATTAATAGTAGACTTTGAATAGATTAATGTAATTTTACACTAGCCTAGACTTTAAAATACTGATTGAATATTTCCCACAACTTACACAGGTTTGAGTATTGAGTCCCCCATAGCCGTTGGAGTTATAAACAGACTGTCTTTGTCTACAATCTGCTGACCTCCCATAGCTGTCAGAAGACCTTCGTCTGTTATCATAACCTGGCCATTGCTGAAGTATGTCAACTGAAACAGACAAAAAACGCAAAGCTTAATTTTAAAAAACCCTTTAATTTAAGTCAAACATGATGCTAAATGTTCTAAATGTATAAATGCACATACTGCAGGAAATCGTTAGGTATGGTAGGTACGTACACTTATTGCAGTTAATGTTAGTGTCACAGACTTTGATACATGTTAGTGTCAGTGCCATCTAAATTATGAGTTTAGCTGCATTTTAAAAAGCCAGCTAGTATTTTGTAAACTTGTTCTGTGTAATGCAGAAATAAGTCAGAAGCTTTTGGATGATTTGTAAAGCACGGGTCACACTAGGCTGCTTGTCAGCTGCTGGTGATCAGCGTCCGTGGGCCCTTGTAACGAAGACAGTAGAACCTTGATTTAACAAGACTCTCATGGGGATTGTAAAATAAGATTTGTTATCAAGGTTGACTTCTTATCGAGGTTTGTAATAACATGTGATTAGGGGTAAAATAATTTTAAGAGGATTTGAAAATGACACTTGTTATCAAGGGCGACTAGTTATCGAGGGTCTTCTTATCAAGGTTCCACTGTACTTTTAAGTGATTATTGAGGATGTGTGAGAAAGAACAGCTGTGAGGTTTTGCATCGACTCACTGTAAACTGCTTGACATTCCTAATTCTTTGAAGAAACGTTCTACAAACACTCATAGTTTTGGAAAATATTAGAAATCAATAGCCTCCTTCCCCGACCACTTAAGCTCAGTCATTTCTACGCTGCAAATTACTACTTTTTAAAGATGCTTAACAACAAGAAGAGGTGTTAGTGGACCAGGCCTTAGATACAAAAAAGGATCAGTTATGTAAGAGTTTCTTCAAGCCGGTTGCAAAAACTAAGAAACATTAAAAAATTGTTTACGAATGTCACCACATAGCCTACATACCAGGAATTGCTAGAATTAGCCTAGTTAAACTTCTAATTTAAAAAATTGAGACAGGTGCTTTTGTGTAGAAAATAATCTTTGGTCGCCGCTGGCATGTTTCTAGAGGTGGTCAGACTACGCTGGTGGCTGGCGTCAGCGAGTGCGAGTGATCACGTGATCTCTGGTCCCCACTGCCTCGCTACCTAAAGTTGAACATGTCCGACTTCGCCAGCTGCTGACAAATGCTCACCACACAAACAAAACACATGTGGCGGTGTCAACTGCGAATTTTGTGGTTACATTAAGCTGACAGTAGCAACTTCTTTCAATTTGCCGCTGATGCCAGCCTATTGTGACCTGTGCTTAACTGGATACGCTACAGCTGTCCTCCATAACTGGACTTGTAGTAAATATTGGTCCCTGGCTATAGAATCAGCTGGTATTAGTCAGTAACACAGTTATCATTAGATCCATTCAACAATTTGATCTGCCTTTTTAGTTTATGTGTGTCAATGTTAGCCTATATAGGCCTAAATCCTATATGTATACCTAACTACATGTTCAAGTAAAAGGTAATTTCAAATCGCCTTCTCATACCTGGTTTTGATCTACCGGTATATATATCGTTGTGGCTTCTGGGGCGACTTCAGTAATGATCTGCTGTTGTATTGGAGGCTCCTGAATAATCTGGACGGGGATGGTGACATAGTTCAAGCCCATGTTTTCCAATGTAAGAGGATCTGAAATATTACATAGATCTTATCAAGTTAAGTGTTATTATTACCAGAAAAGTGCAAAATATTTCTTACTTAAAAGACCTACCAATGTTGTCAAAATAGGTAGGTAGGTACTTTGGTGTTATCTGGAGGCTACCCTTATACAGCGCGCTGCGGCGGTTAAGTTAGGTTGGGTTATCATAAATATGTTTGTAGGACTTTTCTTGTTTCATTATGAATCAAACCATACCAGATGAGTCATTCTTTCGCTCGCCAAATCCCCTCCAAGTAAGCCAAGGTGAGGTCGTTGACCGGAGCGTGCACATCACCTGTCACCGCCTATGGCAGCATGAGGCGGCAATGCATACATCTCAATCCTTACCAACATCGCTGCCTTCTGGGGTACAGAAACTCAAAGGCTGTTAATTGTAATCATGTCAAATTTGGACAGTAAGTTAAGGCCTATGTACCTATGTTTTTCCATTTATGATAACCCAACCCAACAGAACCGCTGCAGCATGCTGTATAAGGGTAGCCTCGGGATAATACCAAAGTACCCCAACATAATGTAAGTACAGTATACCACCTATGTGGCTTTTGAAAAACGAGGCCTTCAGTACTGTAATTAAAGTTTGTGTTCCTACTATAACTATTTTAATATATTCGTAACCTAAATATTCTGTGGATGTCTTTGCTTACTAAATGTATGCTCAGTAACTTAAGTATTAAGTTAAATTAGGTAGACCCTAGGCCTACTTAATTTTAGGTCAGACATTATTTGGCTAAGTTAGTGCCAAATAAAAACCTATTCTAGGCCAATTGTGTTTTCATTTGTGTGAACTGAATAAGGTCTTACACATAGCCTAAGTTAGCCTATTTAGATAGCCTATGAAATCCTAACCTGTAGGCCTAGAATTAGAATGTAGCCTATTTTATGCTGTTAGTTTACTTCATAGTCGAGAGATTTTAATTTTTCGAGTGAGCCTTGATGTAAGTTATCAAGATTGAATATTCTCACCTGTGCCTAATATTGTATTGCCGTCGTATGTGGTGAACATCAGCCGATTGGTATTGAACATGTCACTTGGGAGTGTAACTATTTGAGTATCCATTAGGTTGATTTCCTCAAGTTTGTTCTCCATGATAATTGTGGATGATTTCCGATTTGTTACTAATTTTATAACGTTAAACTTTAAGTCTCACGTGTGAAAAATAAGATGAGAAATAAGCACTATCCATCTAGGTTCAGTGAATCATAAACGCTACGTGAGCATCAAAACATTGAATTGAAATAAAATGCATAGCCTATTGCAAATGTTTTAACGAAATTGGTATGGAACCATCATTTAAACTGGTTAATTCTCTTCGTATTTTATGCAGATTTTACCGTAGGATACTTTTTATTTAATTATAATACAGTAATAGCAAAACGTAAACTTCAGTGACTGACGGACGACAGACTGACGAGACGAGACGACAGACAATAACAATTTAATTATTAAATGCCTTTGACTTTTACTTGAGTTTTTATCTTACAGGTATTTGGGTTTTCAGTGCTGCCAGCATACAAAAGAAATTACATTTTATGTTCTATATACTGTATAGGATAAAAATAGGTTGAATTAATTTTTTATATAATCAGGGATACTGGCTTTTACAGAGAATTTACAGTATATAATAAATACTCAAACAAAATTTGGCGATGTCTATTGTAATACTTGTATTACTTAATGACGAATAAAGATCTTGAATCTTGAGATAATCTTGAGATTGATAAATATGGGTAACATTTCTTCATAAACCATGGATGATGTCGCCCCTGTAATGTCAAGCCCGTTAAAGAAACTGGGATTTATTTTGGTTCACCGGGTTAAGGTTGATTTGCAGGTGGTAAAATGATGCTTTGTCTTATGTTTGTCACAAATTTAATACCCAGTCATTCCACATTTGACTGAATGCACTAATTTATTTATATTTCTTCAGTTTTGACCTTAGGGTTATATCTAAAATATTGGAATACATGCATTTATATTAGAATATATTGCATTTATTCATTATGTTTTTAAAGAACAACTATACTGTAGTACTGACTCTACCAAGCAGTAATTTTAGATAATGTTTGGTGTCCTAATTACCTCCAACGTCAGTATAAGAAAAATGTGTGCGTAACTAATTTATTATTTCTGATAGAAGTTTTGTGAAAGGTGAAAATTCTACAAGCTTATTATGATGGAGCGTTCTAAATATTTTGTGTGTGGAATTACATTATTCCTGAGTACAGTATGTAGAGTATATGGTAGTACAAATGAGAAGAATAGTTTTGATTCATCTTGTAATTGAAAGTGTTTTGATTTATAGCTTGTGGGCTCGGGTTGGATAATTTTTGTACTAATAGAAAGTTTGAGAATTGGCTACATTTTTTCTCCTTGCAACAAAACAATTAGCCTATGTGAGATAGTTTACAATAGAACATTTATGAGAAGGATTCTCCTTGTAACCAAGCAATTTTACTGTTAGAGGAGTCCCCATCTAATATTGATTGTTACTTGTTTTTGATTCTTTATCATTGTTATCTAATTAGTTTACAATAGAACATTTGAGAAGGATTCTCCTTGTAACCAAGCAATTTTACTGTTAGAGGAGTCCCCATCTAATATTGATTGTTACTTGTTTTTGATTCTTTATCATTGTTATCTAATTAGTTTACAATAGAACATTTGAGAAGGATTCTCCTTGTAACCAAGCAATTTTACTGTTAGAGGAGTCCCCATCTAATTTATTGTTACTACTTGTTTTTGATTCTTTATCATTGTTATCTAATTACAGAACTTGTTGTTCCCCATGATGATTTTTAAATTGTTATATATTGTTGTTGATTGTAGTTAGATTTGATACATTTTTACCGTATGTATTTAGTCATTTTTCAGTCCGTTCTATCTTCATTTATGAAATGTATATGCCTGAAATGTGACGTTTTGCCATCTTTGTATGCATATGTAAAATGGAGTTTTGCGTTGATAGATAAATAGGTAATTTTTTAAATAATATAAGTTTTTTTAATAGAACCTTTGAGAAGGATCTAGATTTTCTTCGTAACAAAGCAATGATTTTAGATTGTTCACAATAGAATATTTGAAAGGGATCTAGATTCCCCTTGTAACAAGCAATAATGCCAGGGGTGTTACAATAGAATGATTGAGAAGGGTCCATGTGCTTCTTGTAATAAAGTAATACAATATTGTTATCTTTTACATTGGAACCGTTGAGAAGAATCTAGATTTTCCTTGTAACAAATCAATAATATATACGATTTCAACAATAGAATAGTTGAGAAGAATCCTGGTTCATATCATAACAAAGCAATAATAGGCCTATGTGATTATTTACAGTAGAACCTTTGAGAAGGATCTAGATTCTCTGCGACAAAGCAATCCAATAATATGAGATTGTTTACAATAGAACCTTTGGGAAGGATATAGGTTCGCCTTGTGTATAATATGACGCACTTGCTGCGAAAGGATCCCAAAATAACTCGTTCAAGAACTCGGAAAACAAGTTATTTTCTTTTAATTACTTATGTAATTTTTCCAATTAATTGTATTGTTTTTGGAATTTTACTCTTTAAAAAATCTACAATTCCTCCATTTGGTGTATCTACAATTAATCACAGGGGTTCCCATATTTAACTTTTAACCAATTTTTATTATATATCAACTGTATAACATTTATTATAGTGTAGTCCAAAGGCCTTAACATAATAAGGCCTTACATAATCAGCTGTTATAATTTGAACCCATAAAATTGTTTATAAACACTAATTTGTATCCTAACCTAAAAATAGGAAACAATGTTATCAGCTAGGTACACTTACACCTAACCACCTTACGGAAGTAGTAGACAAAGTTGATAAGCATGATTCGAACGAGAAGGGGAAACGAGGGGAATCGCAACAATGTGAGCCGAAGAGGGGAAAGTGGGGTTAACAAGTGCCCCAGTGTTCTGTCCGCGAGTCTTTTGAGTCAGTGTTGTCGCGGCGATCGTAGCGGTCGCGTCCAAGTGTGGTGTGTAACCTGACCAACATGGCAGCTACATCGACAAACGGAGACGCCAAACAAGACAAGGAAAATGGAAAAGCTCGGACTGCCGACGTGGAAAACGGAAAACAAGCGAGCGTGGAGAAACCTGAAGGTAAAACTTAACCTTGTTTTGTAGTGTCATGTTTTGTTTACAAATGTAAAATCGCATAATATCTCCATTTACGTGCGATTTTTAGATATTTAATATGTTTTACCATGGATTTTGGATACTTTTAAGTGAGATTCTTTCTTTTTTACAGAATTTTAAGCATATTTTGATACGTGTGCAGTGTAAGGTTGTTTGCGCGCTGATAACTAAGTGTTTCTATTGTTTTATAGTAAATTGTACAGTGCGCGCTTTATTATTTTATAGAATACAAGGAAGAATCAATAGATTACAATTAAATTGTAATATTCGATCTTAATAGTTTCGAAGTTGATAAAATGTCTATATAAAAATACTAAACAAATCTCTTCCTTTATAAACCAAAACCGCACAGATTGCATTCAGTCCGTCTTAAGAGTTGATAAATCTCATCAGGGGTAAGTTTTTTCTTTGACCTTAAAAAGAACTAGACATTTTTATTCCCAATTAAAGCTGGAAGCAGTTTAAAATAAAAATTAACGTGGCGATTTGAAAATAAGATAATATATTCTAAAATGATTGTTAAATTGTTTTTGTCAATTCAGTTTTAAAAACATTAGTTCCGACGTCGCTTTTGTTGATGTTTTTTTCCAAAGTTAAAAGACGAGTAGGTACTTCACTGACGAAAACTTTAACTTACTTACCTACGTAAAAGTTTACTTTTTAAAACAAAGTGTTATACTTATAACAGCAATATTATGAATTTAATATTTTGAGTGTAACATCATTGAAATATTGAGGGAAAATATAAGACATAAGACGTAAAACATAAGACGTTTATTTGTCATTTTTACATGCATGGACAAGTCAAGTTGTTTTCATACAATTGCATGCGTCACATATTCAATGAATACCTAAAAAATATAAGACATAATCTGAGGTTCAATGAAATATAAAAATACAATAATACAGTGTACATGGCGAGAGATTGCAAAAAAATTAGAAAAATATAAAATATGTGTAAAAGGTCTACACCTCTAAGAATGTACCTAGTCATTGTAGAAAGTTTTAATCGTTCAGCTAATAAATTTCTTCTAGATTACTCATCTTAATTAATTACTCATTTATTCTCAATTCATTAATTACTTTCATATCAATATAGTAAAAATAATTATAGTGTCATATCTTATGACATTTAAATTCACTGTTTGATTACAATTAAATTCCACAAAAACCGTGTCATGCATTGAGCGGCTATCGTAATTGTTTATAGGCTATCTTTTTGCACAAAAAAAGAATCAGCTGGCGTCAATGGTATCAGCTGTAAATTTGTATCACTTGTAAACTTCGATTGTATCGGGAGTAGTTATCGATTGTAGTTCATTGTTGCATTGTTGTCGACGAAATTGTAATTTGTTTACACTGAATCTGACAAGATGAATTACACCATAGCCTCCTATTACACGGCAATGACCGTGATCATAACAGAACATGAATTAAGATACGAATAATAGACCAAAGTTGGATGTCTAAGTTACAGCTAGTTATTAAAAAAATCAAAGCCGTTTAAGAACACTAGAACAAGAAGGAGATACAACATTTTTATTTTGTGAATTAATTATTGTAAAGAATAGTGTATTTTGATGAGAAAAAGTTTGTTACTTTCACAAGAGGCGAGAGTATCCCCAATCCACACTTAAATTTGAGCTCGTGTCAAAAATAGGCTATTTATTTCAGGCCTTAATGATAAATTAACACAATTATGCCTATTTGCATAATTTTTGAACTTACAAAGTCAAAAATCTCAACTATCAGTTCTATGAATTAATCATTACCTAATTTATTTTCGTAGAATAATTAATTCATCGTTTGCATTGTTAAAAGCAGATTATTGGTAACTTCACAAACTACATTGTTGCCGTTGCATAGCAACCAAAAGCGAAAAATATTCACAACAATGCTATTTGTTTAATTGTGTTTTATAACTGTAGTGTTTTGAAGTACAGCATTTCTGTATAGGCCTAGTGAAATATTTATTGTCATTATTTAATAAGTTTTTCGCTCTTTAGGGTCTTGACTCTGTTGAGCTTTGAAAATATCGAATAATTGAATAAGACCATGTTCTTAATTCTGTCACATGATCACCTGATTTTAAAATTTGATTTTGTGTTGAGAATTGGTTTTATATTCAAAACTACATTACCAGGTATCGGTAAATTCGAATGATCTCCATCTGCAACCATACCACTTAGCGTAAAATGTTTGATATCCATCTTCTA